TTGTTAAATTTATTTTTAGGATAAATGAAATTTTCAAATATCTTTTTTGTTACTATAATTTGCTTTTGTAATCCAATAATCGTTTGAATATGAATTTATTTGTTATTTTTGTTATCGGCAAAATGAGCAAACGTTTAATTATAGACTTGTAACTCATTTAAGTATTTCTCGCATATTTTTTATTACAGCATTATGTTAATGTTGAGCCCCCGATTCCCAAAAATAGTTGTTCTTCACCTGCTCTACACCATCCATTTGAACGATAAGTTTTTCATCAGTTCATTCGTTTGGTTTACGATAAAAATTAAATTATATAAATCCATGATTTTAATACCTTAAAACAACTTCATACCTTCCAAGTCTCCTGTTTTTTTTAAAGAAGATTCCTGTACTTTACGACTATCTCCCGTTTATATTCTCAAATTTCTCTGTATTTGTTGAAGAAATTGAAGAAATAATATAATAAAATAAATGGCGATAAAATATCCGCTGATCGCAAAAATACTTCTCTAATTCCTCAGAAGATGGTGCTATTGCCAGTATTGCAGTATGTTGAGTGTTTATGTTGAAGTAATTATAAATAATGGTTTGAAAAAATCTTCTTTAAATTAGGATTTATATACATATTTTTTACTTCGCTAAATGTAAGTGCTTGTTATTTCCAATTTTGAGTTTCTCTTTTTCACTTTACATGTTTATGTATGATGTATCGAAACTTTACTCGTAGCCTAAAAAATATCGCTAGTTTTATTTCTCCAATGTTGGCAGGTGCGCAACATTATTAAGCAATAGATAGCCTCGTATTAAATAAATCTCTTAATATAATATTTAAGTGATTAATTTTATACAAGGTAGCTGTACATAACATCAAAGCCTGTTTGATTACCTGAGAAAACGGTTATTCGAACATCCGAGTTTAAATCTGCAATTAAACAGGTTTTGAAATTTTGTGCGCCCGCCTTTTTCATCAGCGATTTCTCCGATTTCGATAACGTTTTTTTTTTCTTCTTACTTTTCTTGCTTAAATATTAAATTGAGGCTGCCGATTTGCATACTTTTTTACCTTCATATTTTACAAAATAAAAATCGTAAAAATATATGTTTAGTCTTGTCGTTACGGGCAATTTCCATTAAACATTGTTTTGCCAGGAGAAATCCGTTTTGATTTCTTAAAATAAATTTATTTTTCATCCTAGCAGCATGACCAAACCTTGAACACGAAAATTAAGAGTGTTTTTCAAGCGTCAAAATTAACGTTACTCTTTTGTTTACATTTATTCGCGGATAATTTTTGTAAATTATATGATAGTCGCAAAATAATGTGAGAGAAAAAAATATATAATTGCTCTTATTTTATTTAAAATTGTCGCCCGTTTTTTACTCCTCATTATGTACTTAACACCGAACCTCATTAATTTTCTTTTCTTTTTTTTCCTCTCTTTCTTTTTTTAGAACATACTTTTATAATATTTCTCGTATTAAACTTTTTTTTTTTCTTAATTCAAATTTTTATTTTCCACCCTGAAGCGCATCTCATTTCTTCACTTTTTCCGCTTCTCCCTTGTTTGTGTATATTACCTTGGAAGAAGAAAAAAATATCTCATTCTTAAAACAAAAGATAACTATCTGTGTCGTAAGGAAAAAAAGTTTCATTTCAAAAATTTTTAGTCATCTTTTGGTCTGCCTGTAGGAAATTTAAACATATTTTAACTGCCTTTATTTTTTTGTAATTGGCACTTTTTTTTTTCTACATATGTATTTCGAAGCTAATATTTGGAAAAATTGCTTTAAACGTTGTTTCTGTTTTCGTCATATGAAGTTTATTTGATCACTTTTAATACTTTAAAACATTGCTTTAATTCCGTCTTTAAATCTGGTCTTATGTTTTTTTTTAATTGTTTCACTCTCAGTATTTCGAGAAGTAGCTGATAATCTTGCTTTAATTTCGTCTTAGATAAGTTTGTTTGCTAGAGAACGTTATGTCCATTGCATATAACACTTACTGCATTATCGGTTAAGATGTAATTGGTTGTGCAATATATTTATTGAAACGTTTATAACGCATATATTTATTGTTGGCGGTTATCAGGGCACAAAGTTGTCCTTAATTTCCTTAAAATGGAGAAAGTGTCCTTAAATATTAAAAATCTCAATACATGTCCTGAAATTTTTGTATTTTCCAAATTTTTGTTGAAGTTTTAAAAGCAAGGATATATATATATTTATCTAAAAAAGAATTGGAAGAAACTTCAATTTCAAAGATGTTGTTATATGCCTTGAAACAAAGGCTTTCATTTTGTAATAGATTTACTAAGTTTTCATATCGTGTCAAGTATGTTATTAGTTTATTTCCATTGTTATAAAAAATTACCCTTGAATTAATGGTATAGAACATTTCATATGGGAGAAATATATAAAAAGCTCTTACCTTCCATCCTATCTCTATATCATACTCTACTGATTTTCACGAGAGAATCCTCGTAAGTTTCCTTAAAATATCCCTATTGAAATAGAATTTTTTACAGGTTATTGCTTCCTTGAATATTTTAAAAAGTGTCACTAATACACAATAAAGTGAGCCTGATTTATAAAATTCAGTTAACTATTTTTGATGAAATAAATGCCTATTACTATTCAAAATTATGAATAAAAATACTGCATAATATTTCAAGATCATTTAATTGAAATCATAACTGGGAAATATCGCAGTTTTTCTATTTTGAAGACCATAAAAATCCCTAAAATTCCCTATGTGTAAAATATTTAGTATATTTTTCAAAAATTATCATGAAAATTATATTATTTCGTAAAATCTACTGGTTTTTTTTTCTTCCTATCCTTGATGGTAGCTATGCTAATCATAAGAAGGAACATTTGACTTCATCCTTAATTTTTATATTCTGGATTTCGACCCCTGGCATATTCAACGCCGGTTATAAAATATTATTGCGAAGCGGGGTTTGTGAGCTGTAGCGAGCAGGGTACCAAAAACAGCGTTGGAAGAAATCAATTTAAAATGAAAGAGTGTTGGTGAAATCGTATTAAGAATTCCCCTGTTCACTTCAAATTGAAGTCTAAAATAATAATAACAAAAGTGTGAAATCCCCCCTACCTGTCCCGATTCTTCAAAAGCACAATTCTCCGGGATTTAGGAGAGAGACGGTTCCACTGCTAGGAATTTCCGACAACAAAAGCCACCTTCCTAAAACTCAATTTTCATCCCCAAAACCACCTCTTTTCATTGGTCCGAAATATCAAGAAGTTCCTACCGGAATGAGACGTGGAACAAGAGAGATTTCTTGGTTACCGGTGGCAACTGTCCAAACAAGATTTGGAAAAGAATGACACGGTGGCTGGAGGAAACTAGATCAAGAAGGGATGCTTTAACAAAAGATTCCCAGAGAATTCTTTTCCTTCCCATTTCTTAAGTTTTCTTGTTAACATGGTTTGTTTAAATATGAAAGGGCACTCACCTAATTGTGCACAATATTTTCACTGGAAATAATATTTGCTCATATTGTTACCTTAAGCGACTGTGCGTTGTCTTCATCTTAAGTCTTAGCAAACCTAATTTGCTGCAGTCTTTACGAAAACTCTATCGTTTTATGAAATAACGCTTTTTAGTGAATAATATGCAACTCCTACTAATAGTTAACCACCCTATCAACAATTTCATTTTGACTCCAGTTTATCTCAATATGTGTCCTATACGAACATGCAACGAGAGACCAATATTGGGATGTCTAGATTTTTCAATATTGGTCCCATATAGGGCCAATGTCGGCCAAATATGGAGCCTATATTGGCTGAAAAATGAATATAAGATATCGGGTGTATCTGATAATTTTATGTAAAGTTGCTGTAAAATCTCGTGTGAATCGGACAATTCTATATAGGGCCAATATCGGAACCCTTATTGAGCCAATATTCGTGAATATTGGTCCAATGAGGGGCCAAGTTATTTTGCTGCTCCGGCATGAATGTTCAACTTTAGCCTGAGCATCCATTATGTAAATGGTTCAAAATATAAATATGAAATACAGTGTATTTTTTAATTTTTTTTATTTTTATTTAAACGACTTAAAACTCCCCATGCACCACAAAGTATAGCATGAGGCTTATAGTTGTAAGTAGAAAACAAAAAGAAGAAAAATTTACATTAAAAACAAAATTCCGCAAGGCCGCAAGACTTTGAATACTTTTGACAAGTTCTGATAAGACAGGTGACCAACAAATAGAAAGACGTCTCAAATCAGTCTTTAAATTCATTCGGGCACTCGCATACAGACTACAATGAAGAATGAAGAAGAATATGTTCAGCATCTTCATCAGCATAACAGCAAGAATAATACAGTGTATTTTGATGTGTTTTCAATTGGTGCAATGTAACTCCACATCTGCATTGTTAAGGCTCAATAAAAATCGATAGTTACTTCCAATTTGTTTCAGGCAATTTTTTTTTATTTTTTATTTATTGCTCTGACACAAAAAAGTTTGCTGAGATTTGGAATTGATCTGTTTCTGTCTGAAATAGTTCTCTCAATGAATATAGATGGCAGCACTAAGTCACGTGATTAGTAAATGTTCGTTTTTATTTGTTGTGCTGTTTCGTTCTCTATGCGTCTATGTCGCGATTAAGTTGTGTTATTAAAATCGCCATGGTAGTTCTTGAATGATTATTTCCCTGAGAAGGAATACTTTTACATGAGCATTAAAGTTTAAGGATTTTCATCTTGGCGAGATCGTACGAATGATCTCGCCAAATTGGTGACCTTTTTTTAAAAAATAAAAGTTAAATAACTTTTTCAATTTGTTAGTTTATAAAATATTTATACCACTCTAAATATATATACCATTTGTTCGCATGCCGAGTTTATGGCACTGTACATCCTTGTTTATTTGGTGCAAAAACTTCGAATAATAGACACTTATATATAAAATAAAGAGACACTTTCATGTAAGTGCTCACTTTACTAATTTCATTGTTTTCTTATTTACAGGCTGTCGTGGAAACTGTGGTGAAAGCGTCTGAGTACAGCGATTTGGCTATTGATGAGGGTAACCCAGTCAATGCTGACATGCTTTTTGACAAAGCAAAAAATCACCTCTACGTCATGACGGAAAAACGGGTAAATACTTTCATATAAATAATTCCTCACTTTCTTTCAAAAGCAGGGTGTGAAACTTTTTTTTTTTTTTTTTTTTTTTTTTTTTTTTTTTGCAACAACAACAAAAAATTATTTTTTTAATGGTATTAAAATCAGATATTCTCTTTTAAGTGGAATAATTCAATGGATATAGCAGCTGATGAATTGACTATTACGTAATTAAAGGATTTGGCGACTAACTTGTCCAGTTCGCCAAGTTAATTGACAAATTAAAGTTTTAACTGGCTACTATTTTTTTTAAAAAAAAAAAAAACTTCGTTCGGCTATGGCGACTTCTTGCATATTTTCTCGATTATTTACTTCCTCATATATTGTGGTATATAATATAATAAAGAAAAGATTTTTGGTGCTTTTTTTTATGAACAAAGAATTCTTTTTTCAAGTTAATATAGAAAATTTTGGGAAAAGAAAAAGCTTATGTGTAACTTAAAAAGTTCCCCTTAAAGTTTTAATGGATAGTTTTGGCTTTCCGGTTTTTTAAATTGAAATGAATTAATTAACCTTGAGCTTTAAAATTTATCTTTATTTTATTCCAGTTTTAATTTAATTTTTCCTTTTAAAAATATGGTGAATATTGTTATTGAAGGAGTATTTTAATTAATAAATGGTCTGATCTAGTACTAGTCTCGCTAAAATTTAACTTATTTTATTGTACGGTTGTATCATAAGATGTTTTTTTCTTTTCTTTACTGAGTTAAAGCTTTATGATAATTATTCAAAACACCACCACATAGATGAAAAGGGAATCTTAATTATTTTTCTGGAAAGAATATTTAGGCTACTACTTTTTATGTGTAAGGCTACTAAAGCTACTGTTTTTAAGGTAACAAGTAGTGGAAACCCTAGAAATCATTAGATAACAAAACTTCTATATTTATGGGGAAAACGTAATTATAAGAAACTAATGATAGTTATAAAACACTTAATTCTAAAAATCTAATGATAATTATAGGAAATGTAAAAATCAAGATAATTTAGTTTCCAATAAAGTGTTTTGCGCATGCTAATGCATTTATTTAGTATTTCATATCGAACCTTTCAATTTTTTAATTGAGTAACCAAATTCATCATCAAAGATGCATGGTTCTCTGACAACCATTGGTCATTAATTATTTTCGCAATTTTCAGTTTCCATTTCGACGAAAACCCTAATTCAACTTATGCATTTACCAGAATTAATACTAGACTTTATATTTATATGCCGATCCAGACTTTGTAAATTCAACTGTCTGGCATAAAAGCTAATTTTATGACTACTTTTCATAAAACGCTGTGATATAAATATTTCATTTTCACGTTAAATATTTTGCAGACAATTATTAATCTTAAATTGATTAATATTTTCATAATTGCCAATGAACTTCGTCATAGAGTTTAGGGTCTTCCTCTAAATTAAAAGTATGGTTTAATTGCGCACAGAGAGCCAGTTCGTAAATGGTGACGAGCCTCTATCGGCGTACAATGACTTTTCCGAGTATGTGTAATTCTCAATTCTAATGATGTGCCCTCCCAATTTTTCGAACGCTGAACTGTAGAAAATACCAAAGTATATTTAGCTAGTACTGTTAAATGCTTGTTTTTATTAAATTCAAGTTAAAATTTAATTATGTACGATGGTTTTTTTAAATTTGGATACAATTTTAAGACCGAATTCTTACACTACCAAAATTGTTTTTGAATACAAGAGGAAAAATATATAGCAATTTACCATTCGTAAATTATTTTTATTTGTAGTGACAATTATTGAAAATATTTTCTCACTTTACCATATTTTTGTTTTAATTTTTTTAAAGTAATTTTTAATTTTCACAAATTATGTGGAAATTTTCACGAAATAGGTACCTAGACATACCCCTGGTGTCAATGAGAGGCCTCAAAGTTCATTATTTCCCTCTTCTTCACTGAAATAAAAGACCTAATGTCACAGGAATCAAAGCGCTTGTTGCTTTGAAATTTGACTTCGTTTAAGGTCTTTTTTTACTTACTTACTTAGGAAGTGAAAGGTAGGGTTTTTTCGCTGATTGCCTATTTCTTCTCTTTGAGATGGAACATTTGACCGCATCTCTTTGGTCATTACCTGTTTGACATCCTCTCTGGAGGAGATCTCCCCTGGGAGCAGAGTGAGCTAAGAGCTAACTCATGTCGTCCAGTTTCTCTTTTAGAAGTTGCCACTTCCTGACACTATGGTGGGGATCCAACCTGATTGGATAGATGTGGGATTTCATTCCGACTTATTTTTCAGACAGTTTGAAGTAACTTTGAAGAAATGAATTACTTGAATCAAAAAGCGTTTATTCGGTCCTTTTTCTTTTTATCGGGGAAAAAAATTCTAAAATTTTGAAACAGTTTGATTTTTCTTTTTTTTCTTTCTGGTTTATAAAAAAAAATTCAAATGTTAGCAACAACCAATCGAGTCCTCTTATTAAAGCTATTATAATTAATTTTTTCTTCTTTTTTTTTCTTCAAATATGTATATCTGAGCCATCGGCAGAATCGCAGCGACACGCAGAACGTTACAGAGTTCTTGCAAAAAGATTTTTCTTTTGAAAAGAAAAAAAAAAATTTTTTTTTAACTTTTCTTTTCTACAGAAATTTACACATAATATTTGAGTCGTCCAGTTAGGTAATCACTTTTTGACGCGCTTAATTTACGCCGAGAGTATCGTGAATCGATGTCATGTTTCGATTGTATTTTCGGCAGTTTATTGATATTGATTTTCACGTGGATTTTAAATTTCGCGATGTATTTCAAACAATCTGGAAAATTCAAAACTTGCGTTTGCGTATTTATTTTTTAAGGCAATAATTCTATCGCATTTTTGGCAGTTGCTGCTATTGATTTCTCTATAGTTTTTAAATCCGATATTTTTAATGCGATATTATTTATTACAACAACCTAATCTCGAAACGAAACACGCATTTGAGGAGTCCGATTCGTGTGATTCCATCCATCAATCTTTTTTTCGGCAATTACTACTACGGATTTCGTGATTTGTAATAATTTTTTTTATTGTGATAATAATTTACAAAATGCGAAGAAGGAAATAATTTTCGCCCCCCCCCCCAAATAAAATGCGAGAATATCGCCCATGATATTAGAATGAAAAAATTATTTCATGTTCAGTTTAAAAAAATTATATAGTTTTATTTTTATTTATTTATTTATTTTTTTGTACACACAGCTCTTTTGTTATTTTAAATGAGTAACATATATGTTTGTCATTATTAAAAGTATCTTGCAGAAAGATATGAGTGATAGAGAGTTTTGTCGCAGATATTCTGCCATCGATGTATTTAGTCCTCTAACTATAAAATGTAGGTGCCAAAAAAGATTGAGGCTTTTGGGCAACTATTTCGATTCTAAAATTCAAATTTAAAAAATATACATAGTGTCTCATAAATACTGCACACCTCAATCATGATGGTGCGTAGCGCTTTTAAAAAGTGCTTAAAGGTGCTTATTTTCGTTTTTTATAAGCTATTAAAGGTGCTTTTTTCATTGATTTTAAAAAGTGCTTTATTTTCCCTTTTCGAAAATGTTTTTTCGTTACCATGTCGATTTTCGCCACGCATTATGCAAAAATGTGCTTTCCCAACGGTTTCACAATTCATTCAACCACTATCTTTTTCGGCGTACCATCGGTCCATAGCGTATGAAATCACCCATCATTTTACGTGTTTGATTAAATACTTTCGAGTGCGTATGTGCGTCTACTGAGCTGGGTTCGATGAGATTATTGCACTCTCATGTGCAACTCTGCTGCATTTTTCAAGATATTCTCAATTTCAGACTTCATTTTCCACCCTCTGATATCGAACTGAAAAATCTCTCGAGCATTTTAAATGGCTAATATAATCAAGAAAAGAGTTCTTTGCCAGAAACTAGTTATTTTATCATGATCATGTTGTAAAGTTTGAAAATTATTTTGAATTTTGTTAAAGTATGTAGTGCTTAAAAATATTTTTTGAGTGCTTATTTTTTGGTGAAAGATTTGGCTACGCATCCTGTTAATGTCTCTTCCAAACATGGTTCCGATTGAGTACTTGCACTTCAAGAAAATCACGATACCCACACATGACCCTATGACGTCAACTCCAGCTGATTGTTTATAAACAAAATGGCGTTATGGAGTTAGCTAAGTTTCTCCACATTAGTTAGAATGTTAATTAACGCGAAATTAATTAAATGCAGCTCCTTATTGCACATCGAAATTGCTGAAATATAATTATTGCTCGGCTACGTATTTTACTAAACTTAGATATATTATTTGTATATGCATTTTATTGTAACCGTGGTATATTTTTGATTTGATAGGTTACTTTCATTTACATTAGTTGATTGTAAAAGAGATATTTCGATACATTTAATCTTTTTATTTTTTTTGACATTTTGTTAATTTACTATTAATTTAAACAAGAAAAAATAGGGGGGGGGGAATTCCCTTACTTAGTTGATCGAACCCTGGTAGCTTAATCATTGTTGTCCTGTATAGGGCTTTTGAAAAAGATGTATTTAAATTGTGTTAAGACATATTGTTTGTGCTGAGAAATGTGAAATATTTTCCAGGTGACCATGGTTAAAGTTCAGGAGTGCCATGTCTTTAAATCTTGTATGGACTGTCTAGGAGCAAATGACCCATACTGCGGATGGTGTTCTCTTGAAAATAAGTAAGTTTGTTTAGTGCCTCTCCCCTCCTACGAGTTGAGGGTTTAGATCTTTCAATTTGCTGAATCATCGCGTTCTGTTAAAAAATAATAGATTGGCGATTACTTCAGAGAACAACTGGTAATTCATGGTTGATTGGCGAGATTATTTTATTAAGACTTAAAAATAATGAGAGATCTTAGAATGTTCTTTCATCAAAAAAACTTTAAAAAAAAAACTATTTTATAACCGTCATTGATCAGCCGACTCAATTGTGAGTTTACGTCTTACAATGTTCAACTCCTTAACCATGTAATTTTTAATCCAATCCAGAATTACATGGAGAGGAAAATATCACGCGGTTAGCCTGTCGACAAGGGAACTCTAACCCATGGTCCGTTTACCACTGAGGATAATTTTCGTCAGCACTATGGTCGGTGCGAGCCGGGTGCGGAATTTGCATCGATCAGCCATCGCGGGTATTCGAACCCAGGGTCTCCTCATTGGGAAGCGAGTGTTCTATGCCCTGAGCCACCACGGCTTAAGAACTACTATTTGAGTGCCTTAAAATTCGAAACAATGCTTTGCTCTGAAACTACATTATCTTTCTTACCATTCTGACAGTATTTATATAATAAGCCTTAGCTACATATAGCTGCTAACTTTTAAGATTTTTGCTAAAGCAATAAGCAGTTTTTTCCGTAGCATTTACATATTATAAGGTATAATTTTCTGGATTTTCCTTTAAATCCTTTATGTTGTGTTTGTAGCGTGTCTACCACAGCAAAAATACAATTACAATGCACTAGTATATGAGATATGTTAACTCGATTCTATGATGGGGTTCCTCTTCATAGATGAAAGTTGGCATCGTCTATAACTTCTCTCCCCACATTGGTGACCCGGACGTGATGTGAACTCGCAACCTTCTGATCTGGAGTCAAATAACTTGAAATCAAAATTGTTTAAAGCCAGAGTAATATATTAGAGCATGAAACAGGCTACCACTGGAAAAAAAGGGGGGGGAACATAAGGCAGTCATGAATTTCGTGTGACAAAACTTGAAAGCCAAAAAAAATTTATATCTTTTTTTTTTCATTTCAGATGCAGTTTGAGAGGAGCGTGTGCAGAAGCTGCACAAGATCCCCTCTATTGGCTATCTTATAAAAGTGGGAGGTGTACTACAATAACTGAAGTGCATCCACCTCAAATACAACGCACTACAGCAAGAATAGTAAGTCCAATGCTTCACCAATCAATGAATCACTTTAAACGCTCCAGCAAAGATTATTCTAGAGGTTCTTAACTAACTTTAGCTGAAATACGTGACATTTCATTTGGGGCGGAGTCGTTGGTATCAAAGAATTATTTACATTTCTAACTCAGATGCAATTAAAACTGCTGGTGTTTCCACAAATATAAAACAAAAATAAACAAAATTTTTAACATGTATAGTGGGTATTGATCCAAAAATAGGTGGGGAATCCTGAGCCTGACTAAGGCTCCCCCCCCCCCAATTGAAAGAAGGTTATTTTGAATTTTCAACAAAACTTCGATTCATTGAACTTTTAACAGAATGTCAGTAGAGTGTAAAATTCGTCAGTTTTATGTTAGCATCTTCATTAATCTATTGTATGAACACAAAAAAAAAAAATCTATATTTCGTAAATCCATGGTTTTCTAGAGTGGAATTCAGCTAAACTTTCGCAATGACGATGGACAAATGTGGCCAATGAAAAGCCTGTATTTTTACATGTCGCACTTCATTGAATACTGTTAATTCCTAAAATTTAGCTGAATTCCGCCCGAATGTCTGTAAGGATATTAATTTTTCGCAGCTAGATGACCAAGTTAACTATCAGAAAACCGGATTTCAGAAACTGCCTTCGCATGATGGACGTAGAATTGTCCGAAAATGAATAAAATCGACAGAACGATATTTCGTCTGACCATTGGAGGGAGACTTTATAGCTATTTAAGAATATAGTCAATTTTTTTTTGTGGTCATATATCTATAAAGAGGTGAAAAATTAAAATACCTCCATAAAGTTCGGTTCTTCATTACTGAAGTAGTGAAGCAAAGGGGGGGGGGCAACAAAAGTTATTGTACAGGGGGACCCCAATTTGGCTAAGTCGGGCCCTGTGGGTATCTATGGTTTAAACCAATCTTAAATTAATAAGGATAAGTTTGTGGTTTGAGCCATTTTTTAATGGTAATTGCTGTTAAAGGTAGCGCTTTTACTTTCTGAATAAGGCAGATAAACTTTATTGTATCCTTGGTCATAGTTATTTTTACTCTTCCCCCCCCCTCCAAATAATTCTAAAACTAGACAATGTCAGACTGTATATTGTTGTGGTTGTGTTAGTTTCTTTATTTATACGAATGTTGATTATGATAATAATCAGCATTCTATAGTATTCATCATACTCTTCAAAGATCTATTATACCACATTAAAATTTCTAAAATCGGATTGATTTTTTTCTTAAAATATGTTTTTTGCACTAGTTACTGCAAGATGTTTTTTTTTCTTTATTAATTCTAGTTTTATTAATTTTATTTACGCTCGTGTTCATCAAATAAAGAAACAAAACGCGACTCATTCATAAAATGAAGCAATTATTAAAACATAACGGAAACTGGATCGTACAAAGTGCGTAGCGTAGCGTTTTTAAAAAGTACTTAAAGGTGCTTATTTTCCTATATTAAGAGCCTGTAAGTGTTTTTTTCATTGAGTGTTTTTAAAAAGTGTTTAATTTTCCTATTTCTAAAATGGAATTTTTTTTTTTTTACCTTGACGATTATCGCCACGAATTAAGCTAAAAGCGGTATTTTTCACAATGCTCCATTCAACGTTTTCACAATTCATTTAACCACAATCTTATTTCGGCGTATCGTTTTTCCGTAGTGCATGAAAGCACTAATCATTTTTCATGTTTGATGAAATACTTACGGGCGTGCACTGAGCTGGATTCGCTGGGAAGGATTCTTGCCCTCTTATGTGCAACTCTGCTGCATTTCACAAGAGGTGCTCGAATTTTTGCTGATTATGGTTACCAACAAAATAATTTACCCCAACATCAAAATTAAATTTTATTTCTTTTCGTAATTTCTTCGCTTAAGATGCGTCCTCGTGTTGGTTTCTGGCAAGCGCTATTCTGTTTATGGATTAGTAACACAATCCTTGAACTTGACTTGGGGACCATTCACTAATTGCATATTTTTATGTCGGTCCCGAGCAGTCGACAATTACTGATCTTCATCACCTCAAAATTTTCATCTCATTTTCATTCATTTATTTTAATAAAATTAGGAATGAATTAAGATTTATACTCGTAGGACCTGACTAACCGTCCACTAAATGCAAAAAGTACTTAAAGGTGCTTATTTTCGATATTAATTTTTTTTAAATCCTTAAAGATGCTTTTTTTTATTGGGTGTTTTTAAAAAGTGCTTAATTTTTCCTTTTCCAAAATGAGATTTATTCTTTACCATGTCGATTTTATCTTCACGATTTAGACAAGAATCGGGGTTTTCAGGTTGTTCTATTCAAGTTTTCACAATTCATTCAACCACAATCCATTTTGGTGTGCCGTCGGTCCGTAGCGTATAAAAGTACCAATGTACACGCACGTATGATGAAACATTTGCGGATACGCATGTCCGTGTACTGGGCTGGATTCGGTGGGAAGGATTCTTGTACCCTCATGTGCAACTTTGCTGCATTTTGCAAGAGATTCTCAATTTCAGTCATAATTTTCTCCCCTCTGAAATCAAACCGAAAATCTCTCAAATTTTTGCTGATCGCGTGGACCAACTAAACATTGCCAAATTTTTATACCTTAATAAAAAAGGGAAATTTTATTTCTCATCCTAACTTCGTGATTGGTAAATTGCCACTGGCACGCTAATTGCCTTCTCGCGCTCTACTATTTATAGATCAGTACCATAGTCGTTATACTTACTTGGGGATCATTCACTAATTACATATTTTCATGAGGGTCTCCAGAGCAGTCCAGAATTACAAAGTTTCATTTCAAAATTTCCATCTTCCTTTTATTCATTTAATTAAATAAAATCAAAAATATATGCGATTTTTTTTAATCGTAATATTTTTTACTTGAGGGACCGTCCACTAAATAAAATTTGCACAATTTTTTTAATATACTTAATTTAAAATTTTTTTTTTTTTACTTATTAATTTTTAGTATTGTAAAATTACTTTTAAAATTTTCAGTGCTCTAAGTTGTTTTAAGTTATTGACAATCTACCAGTATTCCATCTGCTTATGACTCAATCTCAAAGTATTCATCATAATAATTAAAAAGTGTTTGTTTCGTAAAATATGTTCTTTTTTTTTCCCCTGTGACTTATGTTTTTTTTCTTTTTTTGAAAGTTAATGTTTATTGATTTAAAATATTTTTTTTTATTTAGCTGAGTTTAGTTATTGACAATCTACCTGCACTCGAGGGTCAATTCTTTTGTGCCTTCACTGCATTTGGGAAAACTCTTATCACAAATGCCACTAGATCTGCAAATGGCGTAAATTGCCCCACCCCTCACACAGACTCTCTGCCCACCATTCCACCCGGAGAGCGTAAGAAATCTCCTTTTATTTATTTATTTTTTGAAACACTAATATTTCATGAAAGTCATATTTTATTTTTGTTTCTTTTCTAGATCATTTTACTGCAAAATTATCGGTCCGAATGAAAATTGGTCCAGACTTTGTTGCAACGAATTTTACTTTTTATGATTGTAGCACTTATACCTCGTAAGTATCTTTATGGCTAACTTTGTTTTTGTTTAGGTGGGACACTTTTCGAAAGACGTGGAAATAAAATAGGGATGCCAACAATGCTGTAGCACTAAAAATGTTGTTTTTTTCTGGGACGCATGTCACTGTACCGTAGGAAAGGAGGGTGGAATTTAAAATTATCAAAGATAATTTGCTATTAACAATTGTGAATTCATCATATCCAAGTTTCACTAAATTCACATGCTTTTTTTCTTATTTCTTAGAAAGCACACAAAAATTAAGCTTCAGTAATTTAAGTCTGGTGAACAAGCGAGCCCCTCCACTGCTGAAGATAATCACCTAACAATGAAAGCCCTGTGCCGCTTTACGTTATCATTCTGAAAGCACAAAATGATCACCTATTGCACCAACATAAGGCACACATAAACATAAGGTCACATCACATAATGCTAAGCATAAACTTCTCTGTACACATGAGCAAGGCATCCAGATCTGTATGTTCACTCAGACTCTACAAATCAATTGCCTACTATCGCTTTGGAGGCTAAACCTGGATTGATGAATGGAAACCAGCTTTCCATTCATCTACCATCCAATGGACATGTTGCTGCGCCGAGCTCAAACATTTCCTTTTCGGGTGTGACAAGAGTGGCATGCAATTGGCTGGTCACCTAGCAAACAAACCATGTCCATGAAGCCTTCTATGCATAGTAGATGTTGATGCCACTCCTCCGGTAGCTGCACTAATAGAGGATTTGAACCTATTCCTTCTTGCACATAAGGATAAATATGTTTTGACTAAACCTTCTAGTTGCCAAATCTGAGATAAGCAATTTGTTGTCAACCTCAGGGAGTCACAGAAGCTCCAAGTCAAAATTTTTTATGGTTTTTCCATTGATGGTCCAACGTAAGAATAACAACTTGTTTTGTTCATGTTAAACCATCAGGAATTTCCATCATAGTTTCTTAAAAATCAAATATTGGAACGATCATGAACAACCCTCATCCCAATGTAGGAATTCAGACTGATGTATTATGGACCCCGACATTAAAAAAAAAACCCAGATTGTTATGATGGTATATTCCTGAGAACCTAAGAAATTCCCATTACACTTTACAAGAAGATGAAATTCGAACACAATCTTAAACACTACTGTAAATGTATGCTAACAGACCTTCATTTTTTTTATGAACCATTATTTTCTCTGAAACTTCTTTCTGTACGACACAGTTCAAAATGTTCTCAAAATTAAAATAACTTTTAGTACTATGTAGTACTTTTAAATGCATGTTTATATTAAATTCAAGTTCAAATTTAACTATGGACAATGATTTTTATGGGTTTCGAAGTTTGGATACAATTTTTAGCTTAAAATTTTACAATAGCGAAATTGTTTTTGAATATAAGAGGAAAAATATATAGAAATTTACCACTCAAAAACGAATTTTATTTGTAGTGCCAATTTTTGAAAATATTTTCTTACTTTACCATATTTTTGTGTTGATTTTTTAATATCAATTTTAATTTTTCCCAAATTATGGCTAAATTTTCACAAAATAGGTACCTTTAAAAAAAAAAACCTAGACAGACTCATTATGCAATGTAAAACTAGTAATGTAAAAATTTTGTAATACTCTTTTTCATAGATTTTTTAATGAAAAATATGTGTTTTGAACATCTTTCAGTTGTACCCAATGTGTGTCCAGTGATTTTCCATGCGATTGGTGTGTTACTGGTCATCGATGCACTCATGATACTGGAGAGAATTGTCGAAATGATGTTCTTGTTACTGGCGTTTCTGTAAGTTGATTGCTTTTTATTACAAAAATGTACTACACGTCAGATAATTGATCCTTTTTGCTTCATAAATATTATGTTATTTATGAAGCAAATGAAATGTTTGAATTTCAAATACTACAAATTTTTCACATAAACTGATGCAAATCAATTTCTGAAATAGTATGCCATTAAATGTTAAGTTAATTAAAGTTTTGAAGAAACTTAGATTTTGTGGATTTTTACATTATTTAACTATGTAATTATTAATAAAACAATAGTTTTTTTGATAATTGCATCGAAATTTCAGTTGAGATTAAGTTGTTGATCAGTTGAGATTAGCATTTTGAAAACACTTTGGTATTGTTTTGTGGATTTTTACTTTGTTTAACTATGCAATTAATTACTGAAAAATTTTTCTTTCTATAATTACACCGAAATTTCATTAAACATTTATTGGCGTCTGACTATACAGAGCCAGAGGAACACTTAGAGAATTAGGAATTGCTGGTATAATAATTAAAAATTCATTTGGACAGAATACAAGCACATTTCTGAGGTACCTCCACAACAAGTTTAACTCATTATTGCAATCATGTCTGTTTAATTTTCCAAGGCTACACCAGAGTTAGCTTGGTTTAAATCCATGGGTCAATGTTATAGGTTAAGTTTTCTGTGTTCTTTTCCAAGATGACACCAGAGTTTTCTTGGGTTAAATCCACGGGTCACTGTTATAGATTAAACACCAGGTTTCCATTCACCAGACAGATTGAGAGCCTGGACTAAATAATCAGCAAAGTCCTCTGATGAGCATCAACAACTCTTTGGTCACAGATAGAAGATCAGTCAATAAACAACTGCGCTCAAAAAACTATGCACAAATTTCTCATCTCCTGATCTGTAGGCAAACCCACTATCAAAATTCTTATTACACAAAAAAGGCAGCTTAACTTGGATTACGCAGGTTTTAGGGTATGCTAGGATAAGCTTTCAGTGAACATTTCTTTATTCTAATGATAATTAGATAATTTTCAATCATTTAGTTTAAAGCTGGAATTTTTTTTAATTCACTAAGACTTTCGATTTGTTTATTAAAGCTATTTGTTACCTAGTTATAAAATACAGTGAAATTTCAATAACTTAAAGTATTATCACTCTGAAATTTTTGTTTAGAAAAAAAATGTTTAAAGCAGAACTGCTTTTGAAAATTATGTGTAAAATTATTGTAAAAACTTGGCAAGAAGAGACATAAGTGCTAACATGGTGCATAGCATTTTTAAAAAGTCCTGAAAGGCACTTATTTTTGTTTTTTAAAAGCCCTTGAAGTTATCATGTAAAGTGAGTGAAAATTATTTTACATTTTGTTAATGTATATAGTGCTTAAAAATATATTTTGTTGAGAAATTTAGCTATGCACCTCAATGAGATATAAATTATTTTCAGCATCCAATATATTTTAATTTTGTTTTATTTTCTTCCACAGAGCATTGGACCGAGCATACGATCTGGTCCCGGATTCTGTCCAAGAATTAACAAAACTGCAAATGGTTCTGCAGAAATCTTGGTTGCTTCCGGTATNATGAATTAAGTGCCTATTACTATTCAAAATTCTGAGTAAACATAATACATAACATTTCAAGTATGTTTTGTGTCAATCAGAAGTGGAAAATATTGCAGTTTTTCTATTTTGATGACTATAAAAATTCCCTATGATTAAAATATTTAGTACATACATCATGCAACAATTATCATGAAATTTTATATTTCGTAAAATCTACTGGATTTTTTCCTATCAGTGTTGGCAGCTATGCTAGTTATAAAATACAGTGAAATTTTTGTTTAGAAAAAAATGTTGAAAAAAAAAACTACTTTTGAAAATTATGTGATAAGCATTATTGTAAACACTTGGCAAGAAGAGACATAAGTGCTAACATGGTGCATAGCATTTTTAAAAAGTCCTAAAAGGCATTTATTTTCGTTTTTTAAAAGCCCTTAAAGTTATCATAATCATTTGAAGTGTTTGAAAATTATTTTGCATTTTGTTAATGTATATAGTGCTTAAAAATATATTTTGTTGAGAAATTTAGCTATGCACCTCAATGAGATATAAATTATTTTCAGCATCCAATATATTTTAATTTTGTTTTATTTTCTTCCACAGAGCATTGGACCGAGCATACGATCTGGTCCCGGATTCTGTCCAAGAATTAACAAAACTGCAAATGGTTCTGCAGAAATCTTGGTTGCTTCCGGTATCAGTAAGAGAATCTCGGTCAAAGTGGACAATATTCAGGTGGGTTGACCTACTTTTTTTTTATCATAGTTTCTTGTCACAAATTAAATAGTTTAATTTTAGAAGTTTTTAGCAATTAATGAAAAAGAATAATTATATAAATAACAGTTCATTTATGGTTGGTCATTTTACCAACAAAGAAAAATTTTTGCCAGAATGGTACCAAAAATTAGCCAAAACCTGAAAAAATACGGATGTAACTGAAATTGTTGATTAAATATAATGAATGCTCATTAGATTTAAACCCATTTCACGAATTAATAAATTCAGTATATTATTTATTTGTTAATTTAAAAACATTGATAAAAAAATTGACATGATATAGTAATAAAAAATATAAATTTGATAATTTTTTTGAATCTGAGCCGTTAAACTTTTATACAAAATTGTCATATTAAAACTTATTTAAAGCATAATAAAATTGTGGTAATACTTAATTTTCGTGTTGCAACTCCACAGGGAAAACCTGGAAAATACAGAGAATTTAAAAATCATCCAAAATCTTTGGGAAAATGCAGAGAATTTTGAATTTTTCCTTACGAACTGAGAAAAACAGGAAATTTCATTTCTTATTTTTGCAAACTTCTAATAGCACAATCTATGAGATATTTAAAGGCGATAGTTAAGCTATATTATACAGTTTTCTTAATGTTAACTTTTCTTTTCTTATTATGTTGAGCTGATTCTTATTTCTCCAAGTTTTTCCAGCAACCAAAACTAGCACTGATATCCTAATGTAGCTCACAAGAACACAGCGGATGTGTGTTTCCTCTTAATATATTATGTATAATATGTGTAGGGAAAACACAGGGAATTTTTTTACAGATAAGAGTGGCAACCCTGTATTTTTTATTTAAAAAAAAGCTTATGTATAAAATGCTGTACATGAGCAATAAAAGAATAATAATAATCCCTAAGAAAACAGATTTTTCCTCGACTATCACAATAGGTTGTATGATAGAAATCTTAGTAAAGCATTTTTTAAGTTCATCCTGCCTTTCATCCTTTGTTAAAAGCTGTGCTTTCTTTTCTTTATAGCAGCACATAGCGAGGATGCGGTTCTTATGCCAATTCAACATTGAAGGACGCGTCAAGCAAGTGAATGCTCAACTGATCGGGGAAATCATGTATTGCGAAGAAATGGTCGTAAGTACTTTAAGACTTTTTTTTATTTATTAAAAATTACTCTTATCTGATTATATTAATCTTAGTATTAATATTAATCTTAATAATTAATATCTGGTTGAAATTAATCTTGATAGAGTACTAGTTATTTTATGTTTGCCATAGCAAAATACTGACCAAAAGGACCAGGTGTCCGTTTACTGGCGAAAAGTATCCGGACACCCGGTTATTATGGTGGTGGAAGCATAATGGTGTGGGGGCGTCCTGTGGTTGGAAACATGCAACTCTGAGAGATGTATGTGGACATTCCGGACAATGTTGCACTCCCTTTTCTGTGGCAATATTTCAGGAAAGGCCCATTTCTCTTCCAGTAGGAAGATCCATTCACTCATCGAGGCTTGCACATACGTGGTATAATGAAATGGGTGTTCAAATACTGGACTGGCCTTTGCCGAACCCCAATCTAAATCTCATAGAACACTTTTTAGACGAATGAGAGTGCAGATTACATATAACCAGCCAGATCCTCACTGCAGGCACTCACTTCAGGCTGTGATGGAAGTCAATTCCTATTCAAAAATTGGTAGAAAAGTCTTCACAAACATGTGCAGACTGTCATCGACGCAAAAGGGAGACCAACATCATATTAATATGCGACTCGAGTTACTTTAAGTCCATACCACTGGCTGTCCAGATACTTTTTGGCCGGACAGTGTAGTTTTCAAAATAATAGTTTTGTTTTCATATCAGACATTCACTATCAGTTTTGTAAATTAATCTTTACACTTTGAATTCTCTTCTTAATTATTTTAAGCTTACACCTTTTACTCTGATTTGTTGTTTAAACACCTGTTAAGGACTGTTTGAATATTGCTTAAGATATCAGGAGGAAGTGTTTTTGGATTTATTTATTTTTATTGACAAGGGGGAGATGAGGTATTAGCAATGCTTACATGGATTAAAATCATATTCTATTCAAAAACAAAACTTTAAAATTAAAAAAAAAAATTTCAAATTTGAAGTCTAAGTTAAGTTTGGGGAAATAAAATGTTGAAAAAAAAATTTATTTGAGTTTCAGAGATCAAGAATTTAAATCCGAGACAGAAAATAAAAAACGTACTTAAAGAACATTTTATTCAAAATTCTAGAAATCAATTGAAACATAAGTTTTGTTTTACAACAAACGCAAAGTTAGATTGTTAACTTGAATTTCATCCTATAGTTAGATTGCTACTGCGAATGTCAAAAGAAAAGAAACGTGGGGAGGAGAGTATTGCAAATTTCTTACGCTGATATGGGAGAGGGTTTTTGACCTACTTATTTTTGTTCACCAGAAGGGGTAGTTCAGAGTTGCCAAATACACGTTAAATTATTTCAACTTCTTATGCTAGTTAAAAGCAAACGTTTATTTGCTTATAAAGAGCAAGACTGAAAACAGTGTTACTCTTTTGATTCCTAGACTATTGCTTTTTTTTATTTTTTATTTCCCTTTTATGTCTCAAGCAAATTAGCATAGCTTAAGAGAAATGCTCCTAAAATGTTATTGGAATATAGATGAAGGATAAAGTCTGACCTTTGAAGATGCTAAATTGTGTAATTTAATGTCCTGGAATTTCCAAAATGGGGTTGGACAGTGATTGTTTGGACAAATATTTAATTATATAGGAATTATTACCAGCCGATAGATACTTATACATGATATTTTACTAAAATTATTTTCATTTGTGTTAAAATTCTGCTTTGCAAACATTTGTGACATATTTTGATTTTATAAAATTATTTTTTATGTATATAGTCTTTAAATTCCAATTTCTCTTTCAGTTTTCTTATACTACTCAAGCACCAAATATCACCGCTGCATTTGCTGTGATTTGGGATGTAAATAAACCATTTGATAATCCTGAAAATATCCATGGTAAACAATACATTTACTTTTATCAAAAAGAAAGTTTATATAAACATGATTTTTTTTAATGTCCTAGGTTTTTATTTTATTATTATTATATACATTTAAGCTATTTCAGTTTTTATTATTATTAGTTCTCTCTTTTATTACAGTTCCTTTTAATGTTTTAGTGTAATGAGCTGTGTTTTATATGAATGAGACAAAGGCTTGTAAATGTGTTATCATAGTAGTTTTTTTTTTCCTGTAATAAAATAAGGGCTCATTAACTATTTAAATAGAGTTTTAAAAAAATGTTTATTGTTAAAAAGTTTTCAAGCAGGGTTCCTACCAGTTACAAATTTAAAAAAGGGTCATGAAAGTCCTAAAATAGTCAGAATTTCTAGAAATAACTCAAATTCAAAATTTGCACATTGTTGTAATATAGTATTAATGATATTTAAATTTGAAAAATTGCATGAAATCGGTTGAAAAATTATTAATAACTTCCGAAAATCACAATCGGAAAAAAAAACTGTGTAATTACAACGGAATAGTTGCGAACTGAGTGGTTAAAAGTGAGCTCTTGAATTTTGAAAAAAGTATTTAAAAAAAACACATAGAAATGACTGAAAAGATATATATAATCAGCCCAGAAAAGACCAGCATAAGCATGAATATTAACAATGTAGTCGTCGCAAATCGAATGTGTCAAAAAGAGTTTATTCGATTTGCATGTTGTAATAACATCTAAATTTTTAAAAATTCTGGAAATGGCCAAAAATGACATGTATTTAGAACTGAATCATTGTCATCAAGGAAAGTCACATAAAAAAATCTATGACGTATGAATACAAAATTTTGAAGTTCATTTTACATTTTGTGTAAATTTATCAATAAATTATTTTTCATTAAATAGCTACAGCCGTTTGTAATTGCTATATTCAATTTGAATTGCCCTGTATTAAATTTTGTGTTGAAATTGTGTTCTCAATGATTTCACTTTCTATTTATTTATTTATTTAATATGTTTTGTGAATCTCTTACGTATATCTTTTTTTCTCCCTTAGTTCTTATATTTAGATGTTCTGGAATGGCCCAAAGCTGTGGTATTTGTTTAGAACTACCTGAGAAATACAAATGTGGATGGTGTCAGGATGCTGACAACTCTTGCCAAGTTTATGAACATTGCAATCGCTTACCAACTCTTTGGCTTGACAGAAAGCAAACCTGCCCAAACCCACAGATTACTTCCGTAAGAATATTTTCTTTTTTAATCTAATTTATTTAAATTATATTCATTTTTCACCTTTAGTTAACTTATATACAAATTATTAAAGATCTTGTACAAAATCGGACCTGCCAATTTCTTAGATTGCTCCAAAATACTTAAAGCGATAGCAAAATTTCTGTTTCAGCATTTGATTTCAAATTATTTTGACCACACATTTTATAAATAATTAAAAGAAGCCCTGTGGCGGAATTTTTTCGGGCTTTCTGCAACGTACCTCTTAAATGCTAATATCATTCTGCAATATATTTTTAAAATAACAAATATACATGTTACTGATTTAAAGTAACAGAAGCGTCAACTTCAAGAAAAGAAAAAACTTTTATGTATTTAATTTTCTGCAAATATACAAATTTTTTTTAATGTAAAAAAATAGTGCTAGAAGACTAACGTTTATATAAAAATTATCATATTTGCTACCAACTTGACTAAATGCATCATGGTATATGATAATTAAGTAATTTATAAAATTTTTCTCATATTATTAAAAAATTAATGTTCTTATTTTGGCAACTTTATTCATAGTTTTTGGCAACTATTTTCATGCTTTAGGCTATTAAAAGCAACTATTTTGTTCATTTTTTTGTGGCAACCATGCTTTTGGGATCAAATAAAATAATTCTTTTAATTGAATGTGTAATATTTTTTTTATTGTAATATTATGGGCAATATTCTTGTATTTTGTAAGGGAGAAACAAGCATATTATTTCGAATTTTGTAAATCATCATCTCATTAAAAAAATAATAATAAAAAAATCATGAAATCCGTTGCAGTANGGGGGGGGGGGGATGATCGACAGCCAAATGAGACAATTCGGACTTTTCGAAACAGGTTAACTAAATGCTTGAAACTTTGAGATTCAGTTGTAATCAATAATATTGTGTTAAGAGCAAATAATATAAGAGGATATTAAAGTATCTGATTTCAAAAGCTACGAGGAATTCAACAGTAAAAACTTGATTTAAAAAAGGTAACGAAAATTTTTACGGAAAAGAAAACCAAATTTTTTTTACTTAAAAATCTATCTGCGAGACTCTGTGTATCGCCACGATTCTGCCACGGAGGAGAAATGTATCTAAAAAGTAACCGATATTGTCTTTAGCTGATAGTGAAATTTAAGAACTAACTCAAACTTCCAGGTCTTTTAATATGTATACTTTTCACTAAAAGTATATATTTAGGTTGTTGCTTAATATATTGCATAAAATAATAAACCCTTCATTTTGTGCATTAATAAGATGATTTTTTTTAATTAGTTTTACCCGAAATCTGGTCCTTGGGAAGGTGGTACAAACATTACAATCCATGGAATCAACTTGGGCAGAGTGTACAACGATATAGCTGGTGGAGTGAGAGTGATACACGAAGACGGGAAAGTAATTGCCGAATGCAATCCTCATGAAGAGTTATACGTAAAGACAACTCAGTAAGTATTGCTTTATGTATAAAGTAAATCTAACTTTTTTTAGCAATTTGAAGCAAATAATTAAAATCTTCATTTAATCCCTAAAACATTTTGTGTGTCCTTAAAAAAATAAATTTAGAAATTAAACGAATAAAAGTAAAAATCAAAACACGTTGTTTTAAGATATTTAATTTTAAAAAATGATCAAATCTACATATTTTCTTTTTTTTGCATTATAAAATTTATTATTAAAACATAGCTATTAATTTTCCGTCAAAATTTATGCAAGTTGAGTTTACAGTTGTAATAAATTTATCAATATTGAAATTTGATACCATTTTCAACTATTTCTATTCAATCAGGGTGCATAACATTTTTAAAAAGTGCTTAAACGTGCTTATTTTTGATTTACGTTTTTTAAAAGCCTTAAAGGCTTTTTTTATTCGGGTTTTGCTAAAAGTACTTAATTTTCTGTCTTTTCAAAAAGATATTTTGTCTCGGCCATGTCGATTGTCCTTCTAAATTACAAAAAATGCATGATTTTCACAATTTTCTCTGCAATATTTATCAGAAACTAGTTATTTTATGATGATTATGTAAAGGTTTTGAAAATATTTTTGAATTTTATTGATTTTATGTTTTTAAATTAAGTACTTTAAACGATAGAAAAAAATGATTTTCATTACTACACAGATCCTAATTATGATTTTCTTTTTGGAAAGTGATTAAAAACGTTTTTTGAGTGCTTAAAAGGTGCTTATTTTTTGTTGAAAAATCTGGCTATGCACCCTGTTAATGCTAATTATTTTTCATGCGATGATTTACTGCATTAAAAGGATTTCTTAATGTGTCAACTAAATTTGTAACTTAGTGTTTGAACATAATTAAACTGAGTTTTTTTTTAACTTAGAATTGACCAATAAATCTTATACATTTATTTTACAATTCTCATTTTATTTTTTATTTTATTGCAAATTTTGCATCTTTTTTTAAAAAGAATTTCAAAAAATAATTTTATAACAAATTGAATTTCAAAAGTTCCTTTTTTTTCAGTTTTAAGTAAAGGTAGTGCTAAAATATGAGATAAATTTGAGAAGATTCAGTATTTTTGAAGAAAAGTTAAACTAAAACTTATCATTTCAATGTAGACTATATGCCTTAAGAAGGTGCCATACTATGCTAGAAACTTTTTAAAATTAATCTTGTTTCAAATCTATTGATATTTTAAAGTTTCGAAAAAAGTGAATTTGGTGAGTAAACTCTGAAGTTTCGAATGCCGGAAAAAATGTTTTTAAATTATTACAGTTCAAATTAGTTATGGCAATATTACTTCCAAACTGTAAAGTATAATGATAAAATTTGGTGCGGTTGTAGTTGTATAATATAATTGAACATTATAATGAAATCAGGATTATGATCATAATAAAATTTTTATTCAGTAAGTTGTAAAGCTTGAGATACAAAATTAAAGAATATTTTATGCAAAAGACTTTGTCTCCCACTGTATAGTAAGTATCCTCTTTGTGCTAATAACTGATTTGATATGTAGTTATGAATTCCAATATTTTTTACTGTTACTGAATGGTTCATTTGTTCTATTTTGCAGAATTGTTTGCAATGTTGAGAAGCCACCCAATTTAACAAATGGATTGATGGGTGTTCACATGGATGGATTCATCGAGGTCAAAGTATTGAATGACTATTTTGCGCGATCCAGGGAGCAATACTCATTTGTTGTAAGTATTTGAACAACCCTCTGTCACAAACATAAATGTTTTTAGCAACATACAAGGGGGATTGTATTCTGAGGGGGGGTTGTATTATGCGGGTCTAAAAATTAGTAGGAGGGCAAATGATTTTTCTGGGAATATAGCGGAATTCCGTGTTTATGAAGACCATTGGTTCTCGGACTTAATCATTACACTAATCAAAAACTTGTAATTCCTCAAAATTTTCGGGCAATTACTCAATCTAAAATTCAAAATTTAAAAGTTTTGTTACTTCCCTCTAACGAGACGCTTACTTACACATGATTCTTCTGTCAATGGGCAGAAATCTGACAAATGATTAATTTGTTTTAGCTGATTTTCGCCAATTGGTTCTTTTATTTTGGCAGATTTTCGCAATTTTGAATCATTTGAAACTGCTCCGAAATTTGCTAATATCGCGATTCCTATTCACACGGTTTGAATATCAAACATTGATTCTTGTATTTACCTAATTTAAAAGTTACACATTGTGATTTGTATTCATGTGGTTTTAAGATCGTATATCGCGATTCATATTCCTGCTATTTTAAAATCCAATATCGCAATACTTTCAAGAAATATGATTTTTTCCTAAATTAGTTACTAAAAAGGTATGAAATTCATCACTGGTAGGGAATTTAATTATAAATCTTATTTCAAAACAATTATGTTAAACATGAAACATGTATAATATACAAATTGATATCGTGATATAAATTTTTTGCCCTTGAAATTTTCAGAGTTTTTCACTTTGTCACAATCGCTGCAGAACGTTTGATTTAGCAGGAATAAAGATTGTAAAAATTGTTAGCAGCAAGGCAGTCATTCAATCTAGAAAGGGAGAAATCTATAACAGGGTTATAATAGTCCATTTGTAATGTTTATATGTTGCATGCATCAATCGATTCAGTCATAACAACCGAACATACTAATCATTATTGATTCTTAACACATATAATAATTATATTTTGGAGGCTAAGTGGTGACTTTTAGCAAAATATCATTTGAGTGCCTAACACCAAATTGGTACTATCGATTCACAGAATATAGTTCAACTGATAATAATAAATTCACAAGACAATAATTGCAATCTTATTGACTAAAATAAAGTTACTGCTCAGAGATTTACCTATCCATGGGGTTTAGATATGTTCAGTTATGAAACAATTGTGCACCTTACTTTGATTTCTAATCAGTTAGCAAAAATATAGCAGATTGAAAAATAAGAATTCTTTCTCTATTGTAAGCAGAAATATTTCTCAATTTCAAAATTTGCGGGCAAACCTTATCAGTTTTACAATTGTCATCAAGGACACTAAGAAACTTAAAAAAATATCCTAATATTTTAAGTATTAAGTTGAGAAAAACTATTCTTTTTGAATGCTTGTAATATTACTTTTTCAAACATCTTTTTTCAAGTTTGCATCTATAGCTTTTAGGTACTTTTTAAATAATTTAATTAATTTTGCATTTTTAAAAAAGCATTTGAATTTTTAATGCATTATCAAGTTTAACATAAGTTATTTAAATTCTTCAAACTAAATATAGTTTGAGCATAAAAAAGTAATGTGTCAGTTTTATCAACTATGCTATTAAAGGTTTTTATCTCATATCTTCTAATTGAGCAGAGTTTATATATAGGAATGTAATCAATATGTCTCATAATTGATGAATTTAATAATATTAAGTAACAAAATATAATTTTTAATTTATTTGATTTCTAATTTATTTGTGCAATTGCACTCTTTTGACTCATTGTGAATAAAAATTTTCCTTTGTTTAGAATCCAAGAATTACATCCATCAAACCAGGTAAAGGTCCAAGATCAGGAGGGACCATTTTAGAAATTTGGGGGTTGCATATGGATGCTGGAAGCCAAGCTGAAGCTTTTGTTGGAGCTCTACCATGCAATGTCAGCAGGTAGCAATTTTTTAATACTAAAACCCGTTGTTTTGCAATTTTGAACCGAACTTAGAGTACAGTATTTGGTAAAGTTTTACGACAAATTCATTTTAATGGAGGGCATCAGAATTTCAACAAGCTTACATTTGCTTTACATTAGTAGAAGAAAACATGAAAATATTCCATGGTTAGCTATGTTGTTATTCCATGGTTAGCTATGTTATTATTCCATGTTTAACTATAATGTTATTTTAAGGTAAGCAAATTTGAGTAATCACTTATTGTCTAACTTTATTTTTGCGGATTCAATTCTAAATCCAAGTGATTTTTGATCCTCTTTTTTTTTTTTTTTGCCAGTTTGTTTACAAATTTTCACATGGCTTTTGAAATTCAAATCCAATTAATACAATATTGCAACTCGTGAGTTTTAAATCTTACATTTAATATTTTTTAATTGCACACTTTTTTACTCCCTTTATTTACGCCAATTTCATCATAAAACGAAATTATCGTTTTAAATGCAGTTTTCGCTAAGCTTTTTTTGTTTTTGAAAATGACAAATTTTTACCTAGCGATCATTACAACACGCTAGTTTCAAATTCCACATTTAAATAATCACCTCAACGCACTTTGTTCTGATTGATTTCATCGTGAATTCAAGTTGTTCTATTTTTCAGCAGTTATTGCTTTACATTTCCGCATTTTCTTAAAAATTCTGGTTTTCTAACTACGATATTATAACATGCAAGTTTTTAATTGCCCATTTAAAAAATCATTTTTTGATGCAACTTTGTGTCGTATTTCATTATCAATCCAAATCATTCTTCCGCTGTTTTTTCAGCAGTTAGAGCCATGCATTCCAATGTTTTATTCTATCTGATACAGAATTCTATTAATGCAGCATAATTGCAACATGAAGAATTTGGCACTTGAATTTTTAAGCTGCTTTCCATTATTAATTTTTTCATTTAATTTTTTTGTAACAGGTGATTTTTTCAGGAAGAAAGCCAAAAAGAAAATGTTTCTTATTTAATATTCATGAAACCTCGAATAATTCAAGAACTATAAATAATATCTGAAGTATAATACCAAATAAACATTGAATCTAATTTCGTACTATAATGATTTTATTTTAATCTTTGGTTTTTGTTTAAACCGTATAAAAAACATATGAAGCAAAAAACAGAAAATGATATAGATATAAAGGGCTATTTGGTTACATTTTTCTTTTTAGCACCCTTGATTTCGTTTTAGTATTCGATTCTTGTACATATTTATAAGCATATACGCATTTATATTTTCGTTAATCTTGTAAAAGCAATAATATTGTAAAATCAATATCATTCAACAAAGGAAGTTATATATGGGGATATAACTGCATAATAAACACATAATCTCGTCTCTAATAACATCTAATGACATGATCTTGGGTAAAAAGCTTTGTTTCATACTTTTGCTACTTTTTAAACATATCTTACCTTATACATCTAATTTATATATCTTTTTATTTGAATAAAGTATTCCACTTTAAATCAGAGTTTGTGATATTTTTTTGAAAAGTTTTTAAAAAATCTGATTTTTTTTATATTTAAATCGGATTTTTTTGATTTTTATTCAAATATCATGTAAAGACTTTGATTTATGACTAAAAAAAAAAACTTTATAAATACCTAAAACAATTTTTCATTGTAATACATAGTTTGAATGCATAGCAACCATTTTGAAACAAATGCATGATTGAAATTTAAAGAGATAGAGGATTTAAAGTATACTTTAACTATTAAAACAAAGTTTCAATTACCAAACCATAATTTTAATTTAAAATTGTGATTTCTTTTTTTTTTTACTCTTGATTTTTAAAATGGCAAAATAGATGTAACAGATTATGATTCATTAAGAAATAAATAAATATTTTATCTATATATTTTTATATTAAAATATTCATTTTTAGCCCTATATCAAAATAGATAAGTTAAGCTAAAAATATTGTTAAAAAAATCTATGTACTCATTTAAATTTTTTTTCACAAAATTGCTTTATAGAGAATCTGATAATGTCAGATATACTGTTAACATATTATGAGGAAAAAATACTTAAATGTTTTCTTTAACCTGTGTTTTCAATCTCAAGAATCAAAAAGATTTTTTAAAAACGTAATTTCAAATGTGTTGGAATTTAACACATACCAAGAAAGTAATTTCGTTAGCTAAAATTAATTAATGCAGCATTAATAAATTTTAAAACTAAGAAAAGAAATAAAAGTATCAATAATTTAAAACAATGTTTTTTAACTTTTTAAATCTATATATATATATATATATCAGTTGGTTTAAATCTCAATGATTTCTTTTAAAAAATCATTTGATTTAAATCAAAAAACCCTTGCTTTAAACTGAAGAAAATCTTTATTTTTTTAGTCGTGATTCGAACAGAGCTGTTTGTCTAACGTCTGCCTCCAAAGAAACAACGACGCAAACTGTACGAATCAAATTCGACAATGGATTGAGGGTGTTTGAAGATTATAAATTTCTATATGTAGAAGATCCTACCATAATCATTGTAGAATCTGGTTCCAGCAGTCAAAGAGGCATTCCTAAGGGCATTCCAAGGTATAGATTCTTTTTTAATTAAATAATTTAGAGATGCATTTATGAGTTTCGAAGATGCATTAAGCACCAATTTGATAACACTCAGAAATAAGTATGTGTCATTTGTTGGATTAAATAGTTTGATTTGTATGATGGATAATTCATTGTTAGCTACAATTTTGTATGATAGTAACAACAACAAAAAATCATGGTAACAACATTTATTTTTAAATGTATAAATATTGTTTTTTAAATTTAAAAAAAAATGTTTGACAAATGAATATCTTAAGCGTAACTTTGACAAATCACCATGATAAATCAAGAATTATAATTCATCAGTAACTCATTTGTTTTTTGACCTATTAGTTATGCTTTTAAGTCAGCCATGAGATTCTTTCAACATTTTTAACAGAATTTCCAACTTTAACTTTGCTTATTTATACATATATATACTTAATATTACTGCATTATTTTATTTTATTTAATCATGATTTGTATATAAAGCTTAACAGCTTGTTGGACTTTCAATGTACAGTGCGCAAAAAAAAGATGCTGAATAACTTTCATTCTAACGATCGGATTTTCACATACTCGGTGTCAATCTTAATGATAATGGCGGGTAGCCTCAAATATGTTAATTATTTAGCATATTTGAAATTGTACTTATTAAAAATGTTCTTTCTCTGAATAAACATTAATTTTTTTTTATTTACTTATTTGGATTTTTAACTTTCAAAATATAGAGGGTAGCCGCAATCTGGAAGATATGGTCCTGATAGTTTGGTCAGGAGAGTGATCCAAAGTTTGGACCCCTCAATGTTAATTTCACTTTTTGCGTTTAGTCATATTTTTAAAGCTAATTAAGCAATTCAGGGGGGGGGGGAAATTGACCCACTCCTAAAGCCTGTTTACCCAACAATAATTTCATGCAAAGAATAATTTTTAATAATTAATTTATGTTATTTAATTTAATTATGTATGAAAAAATTTTTAATTATGAATTTTTATACCATATTAGTCTACATATTTTTCTATTGAAAAAAAGTCTAACTATTTTGAAAGTCAGGAATCCGAATATGTAAGAAAAATGTGTTTTTTGTGTCTGATTTTGTAACTTAATTAATAGTTAGTACAAATTAATTAGCATATTTGAAGTCACCTGCTGAAATCATTAAGATTGACACTTAGTATGTGAAAATCCGATCATTAGAACAAAAGTTGTTCAAGGTGATATTTTTTCTTTTTTCTCACACTGTAAACATAAATTTTTGTAAAAAAAAAAAATGAAACAAGTATGTAAATACTTTAAATGTTTTCTTTTTGTGCAAAATAGAGTTTCTTACAGCTTTTTTATTTATTTTTGTTATGATAAGAGGTATTTTCAGACTTTTTGTTCAGTTCCCACTTTCATAGTGTTGGCTTTGTTTTCAGAAAATTTTTTGTACATTACTACCACTTAATAAAATCTTTCTTTATGATAGTACATATAGGTTCTATCATATTTTTAGAGTTAACAGTTAAACACGAAATTTTTTACCTATTGTGTAACATACTGGCAAAAGTGTTGAGTTTTTACCTCGAAACCTATTTTTTTTTATGACAAAGTTAAGCCTAGCAAGGATTATTCTATAAAATTTTGCTCAGAATTATTAAAATATTTTATTTACTCTATGAAATCTATAAATAGGGTTATTTTTAATTGAAAAATGTATTTTACAGACAGCTTCCTGAGTAAAATGCTCATTCACTAAAGTACCACTTAGCCTGTTTTTTTGTCTAAACTTATTTATTCAATGTCTAACTTTATTCAGTGTCTAAAAGTTTTTTTATTCTGATTTCTAGTGGTGGTATAACAATTAGTGTAAAGGGGACCAATCTCAATTCAGTTCAACTTCCCTATATGTACCTGATGGTGAATGAAGAAGAGTTCAACAGTGTACGTTATTTTTTTTAGAACTTTCTTTTGTTGAATTTCACCAATTTCTGATAAAAACTCATTTCTATAGTGGAGCTTTTTGTCTAATAACAATGCTAACATTTCTTGACTGCTACAAACAGAATTTATCACCTAAAAAAATTTATCTTTAATACAAATTTTGACAAATTTGAAGTTTTTTTAGTGTTGCTTTAAATTAAAATTGATTTGCATGAGCTAAGAGAATTATTTTTAAAGAAAAGATATTAGTTTTTGATTAATGGTGTTTAAAGTAATAATATACATAGAATGATTTTGTTTATCTATATAATTATATTTTTGGAATTATATGTTGCATATTTTCTTGAATTCGCAAATCAAAGTTTTTAAGTTTCAAATTGTGTTGAATAATTTAATAGTAATTGAATTGTTTTAATTCCTAATAGTGTTAATAATCATTCTGGGTAACAGTTGACTCTGCTTAAGAATTGTTTAATAATTAATTGTTGAATTAAGCTATATTACAGGGTTACCACAGGCAACTAAAATGCGACTATTTTTGGCCTGAGGCAACTATAGCAATTTTTTTTTTGCATGAAAAGTATTAAAACACAACTATTTTCAAGAAAAGGTGACTATTGGGAGACTTTTCTGTATTCCTAGCGATGTTTTTTTTTTTTTAAACCATGATTTGGGATGACAACCTGTAGCCCCCGGGAGCTTCTGAACACGCTGAATTCTTTTTTCTTAAAAAATAAAATATGGTGAAAATTTTCAACTGCAAATTTGAGTCATCACTTTTTAATGCTTTCAATTTGCACAGATTCCATTGTAAATCTATTCTGTTTCTCTGTCACGGTTATTACTACAAAATTTCGCCTGATTTTAAATAACTAAATTTTTAATACAATATTACAATGCTTGAATTTCGAATTTGAGTAATCACTTTTCACGTTATATATATATGTATTTTCTAAATCAATTATTTAAAAAAAAGAACATTTTTTAGACAAAATTTTTTAGTATGTTTTTTAATGAAAGTTATTTTTTTTTGAAAATACACTAATTTTTATTTTTATTTAAAAATTTAAAGCTAGAACACTAACGTTTATGTAAAAATTATCACATTTGCAACAACTTGACTAAATGGATCATGGTATATGAGTTAATTAAATCATAAGTCAATAATTAAGTCATTTAATGAAATTTTAGTTTTATTATTGAAAAATTTTTGTTTTTATTTTAGTAACTGTTTTCAGAGTTTTCGGCAACTATTTTCCTGCTTTAGGCAACTAGTTTGCTCATTTTTTTTTGTGGCAGTCCTGATATTACTAAGGAATAATTATTAATCTCTGCTAAATTTTGTTACAAGTAGCATGCATGTAATTGAAGAAACAGTTCCTCTCAAAAGATTATAACTTATGTTATTTTTCAATTGCTGATATCTGTTAAGAATTGAAGTGTGTTTTGTATTAATAAGTTAAAATATTTGACTCATACATATTACAGACTTGTGAAGTGTTGTCTCCCACTGAGATGCGATGTAAGAGTCCCAGAGTTCCCGCTGAAAAACTGGATTTTGGGACGGAGGCTCATCCCATAGATTTGGATTACGGATTCAAGATGGACCACGTGGAACGTGTCCAAAACCTGAGCAGCCAGCTTAAATATTCCAAGTTCATAATGTTTCCAGATCCTATTTATTATCCTTTCTCTGAAAAGAATGGCATCAAATACTACAAAAGTGACTATCTCACCATTAATGTAAGTCCGCTATTCATCTGTGAACTTGTTTTCAGCAATTTGGTATAACTTAATGCTTATAGAACATTCTTTGAAACTTCAAAAACTTCCTAATCATTTTGGGACCTTTCTTTTCTCATCTCTATTAACTTAATGTATTTAGATTTAATTGTTTCTCTTCATAACTGCATACTATAGCCAGATGTGATTGTGCTCTGGGAAAAAAAATTTCACTAACCGTGATCCGAAAGTTTCCGGAAATCCAAGGTCCAGAAGTTTCAAGAAAACATCGGTCACATTTATAAATAAAAATTCTTGTATATAATATAAAGATATTAGGAATAGAATTTATACTTGGCATCTCTTTCATTTGTAAATATTTTTTCTGGTAGAATAATAAATGTGATTAGAGATAATTATTCATTTAAATTGTGCCGCATATAATTTATTTAGAATTTCATGTTTTGAAAATATCAATGGTTTAAATTTATAAAGACAGTAATTTTTTAAAATGCCCATTTAATGATTTTACTCAAGAAATTTTCAGGATTTTTTAGTTGGGCTCACAATCATACTTGCTATAGCTTAATGATTTAAAAACTCTGCTATTCATTTATAGGCTTTTGAAAATTTTAATAAAAAATATTTTCAGATTGTGAAACATACGAGGAATAAAATTAACTTGATGGAGTACACAGTTTTGGCTACTTTCCTACCAAACTATTGATACCATGCCCGTATTTCAGAGTAAAGAATCTGAATATGTCAAAGGAAAAAGTGTCTGTTTTCAGCTTAAAACATTGTCTTCACAAATTACCATATTTTAGGTTAGGTCCTATACCCATTTAGTCCTATACTATTCTGAAATTTGAAGAGGACACTATACTGATGGAGAAACCCTTCATGGCAGATGCTATGTCACCTATATATGTAATTTAAAGTTACGAAGAAAAATGAGTTCAGGGAAATTTTAAAGTAAGCCATGAAATTTCATGTGCTAAAAAGAATTTTTTTTTTTTAATATTTAAATACAACCAACTAATGCAGAATTACTTAAGCTTACTCTGTGAGAGAATTATCATGCAATAAAATATTTGTATTTCAGTAGTTTGAAAACATTTTTTTCAAAATTTGAAATTTTGTGGCTTACTCTATGTTTATCTCACCTCATTTTTTCTAAAAACTTTAAATTTTAAAATAGCAATGCATTAGAAATAGAAATTGCGAAGAAAAGTTTTTTCTGCAGTATACCATAGCAACATTTTTACCTTGGCCCCAGTTAGGTGCAATATGGGTCTGATATGAGCATGCACTGAGGGACCCATATTGGGATGTCTAGTTTTTTTAATATCGATCCTATATAGGACCGATATCAGCCTATATACTGCCTACTTAGGGCCTATATTGGCTGAATAATGAATATAAAATATCGGGTGACTTGAACTATTTTATGCAGGGTGAATATCGGATGAATAACGGCCCATTGAACCAAGATTCGTGATTATTGATCCAATGAGTTATTTTGCTGCTAAGTTAGTGTCATTTTAAGGTGTTCGCACATTGTATAGTGGCATGAACTACTTATCCGTTGTTTCTCATGATTTAATTTTAGAAATTTTACATACTAAGATTTAATCTTTGCTTGAAAGCAAATGTAGAGATATGTTCATTTGTTGGGAAATCAGACAAAAAAATTTTCTTTTCCTTATAAACAAATTTTTCACATACAGGCTTCAATTTTGTACTTTAAAACAATACAGGGTAAAATTAATCTGGCAGGTGTGGTGGTCTTAATAATTTATTCAAGGACAGAAGAAAATTCGGATATTTTTATTCTGATTTTACTTTTCTTTAAAGGATTTTTCTAAAAATAAGCTCGATACTCTTAAGTTTTATGGGTGAACCTCTTCATAAGACTTATTTACCCAAAAATAATTTCATAAAAAAAACTAAGTTTCATGAATTCTGTTTTGTATTCATCTGTTATTATTTTTTCAGGGTATGAATTTAGATAGAGCTTCACAGGAGAGTGACGTTGTTGTTCGAATTGGGACCAGTTTCTGTAATGTGACGTCTCTCTCCCGATCTCAACTCACCTGTCGACCGCCCACAACGCAGCCACCCGCGAGAGATGCCAATGGGAAACCTGACCAGAATAAAATTCCTCAAGTTGTGGTGAGTTGATATTCATTAATAGTTAAAAATATTTTAAATTTGAAGACATGGAGGAAGAGTTTAAGTAATGAAATTTCCGCTGATAAAAAATCACTTGCTACCAATAAAGAAAAAAAAGATAAAACATTTGCTTTTTAGAAACTATAACTTACTTTAAAAGAGAAAAATTTTATAGAAAACTTAAATAGTATTCTTATTGTTTTTAATGTTTATCATTTCATAAAGAATAAAAGTTCAAACAAAGCAGTGGCTAAAAAATTTGTTTCTGTCCCTTTTTTAAAAAAATAAAATATTAAAGAAAACTATGATGCATATCCCCAAGTTTTAAAGAAGACTCCTGTATTTTATGGTTATCTCCTGTTGACCCATATATTCCCAATTTGGCAATAAAATATCCGCTTATGGAAAAAATACTTCTCTTATTCCTCAATAGATGGTCCTATTGCCAGTACTGCAGTATGTTGAGTGTTAATAGTTTAAGTATTTATAAAAATAATGGTTTAAAAAAATCATCTTTAGATTAAGATTTATAGACATTTTTTTTCTTCGCTAAATGTAAATGCTTATATTATTTCCAATTTCGACATATTTTTTACTTCGCTATGTATATGTTAATGGTTATATTGTTTCAAATTTCGAATTTATCTTTTTGACTTACATGATTATGCATGATGTATCAAAACTTTACTCGTAGCATAAAAAATTTCAAACTTTTTGTGATCATATCAATTTTTTAACAATTTTAATTTCTTAACTTATTTATTTATATATTTTTTTTAAAAAAAATTCAAAACTAATTTATGATTTTTGTTTTCATTGCTTAGGTTGAAGTGGGAGATCACTTGAAATTTACGATAGGCAAACTGAGCTATGAGCTTCCGTCTAGTCAAGATGCCACCCTTACAAAACCTGTTATTATTGGTGTGATTACTGGTGCTTGTATTCTGGTTGTCATAGTGATTATCATCCTCATTGCATATCGTCGTAAGTCAACTGAAAGCTCTAGAGTACTCAAGAGTATGCAGGAACAAATGGATGTTCTAGAACTACGTGTAGCTAGTGAATGCAAAGAAGGCATGTATCAAAATTTGTTCTATAAACACTGTTCTGATTGAGCTGATTTTTATATTTTTAACTATTTGTGTTGTATTTTTTAGCTTTTGCTGAACTTCAAACAGAGATGACAGATTTGACAAGCGACCTGACAACGGGTGGTATTCCATTCTTAGATTATAGAACTTACGCCATGAAAGTTTTGTTGCCAAACAGTGATGACCACTCTGTACTGAGAGACATGCAAGTAAGTGGACGACTTAATTCTCAATTCTAGTTGTAAGTGGACCACTTTCATGTATTTAGGGGTCAGTTTATGGAATTAGATGAGTCACTGATTTTTTGTCCCACGATGCACTGATCATAAAGACACAGCTCCCAGTTTAACACCAAAGTCACGCATCACTGGTTGCGGGCAGTAAGCAGGTGAGTAACCACTTTGATCAGCCTGCGTAGGAACTGAGGGTGCACGGTATCATCCTCGTTAAACTGTTCTACCTTAAAGTGATCAACTTGGCTCACAGGTCTTTCGGCTACCAAAGCAAGGGAGCTAACCCCTCCGGTGGCATGTCTTTGGATCATCCTCAGGGATGTTGCCCAGACCTTCGCCAATAGCCCATTGTGGTAGCTCCAGTGCGACATAAATAAAGTACCTACCTATAATTTTTCATCTCATTTTATTTTCATAGTTCATGCACAGTACCGATCAAAATTTAGATAAAAGTTATTAAACTTTTTTACATAGCTTTTGAAATGTTATTTAGCATCAAATGAGGCATAAATTAACTGAAGTAGTGACTATTTGTTTTATAAATTTTATTAAAAAAATGATTTGTCTAAATATCAAATCAACATAATTTATTTTTTAGAATGCCAGCTATTATAATTTTTTAAAATTACCAATACGCAAAAGTGTATTTAATTAGAACACTTAATGTTAAATTCATTTCAATGTTTTGAAATTTATTTTGCTGTGATTGCAAACCAATGTCACAGAAGTTCTTTAGTAGTTTCCCCCTTATAGTCTAAGTAGTAATTAACTGTTCAGCTATTGGTTTAGGTTAGTTTTGAATATTATTCCATTAACACAATGAAATTTTGTTCACATTCTGCACCACTTATGAAAGATTTTGAATAGTAGACAATACCACAAGAGAAATTTAGTTTTTTCATAGGAGGTCAACTTACATGGATGACCTGGTTTTATTTTATGAATTTGAAACTGAAAGTGTTCATTAATTATATTTCAGATTGATCCTATTAAAAAGCCTTATATTGAGAAAGGTCTGCGCTTGTTTGGTCAACTCATTATGAATAAAACATTTCTACTGCTGTTTATACGCACACTAGAATCTAATCGTTATTTTTCTATGCGCGACAGGTAAGACTCCTTTCTTTTGCTTAACTTGTTCTTAATAATAAAATGTTTATACAGTGCTTAAAAAAATCACTTAGAATAATTTTTGATCTAATGATCGGATTGTCATGTACTAGGACTCAATGATACGAGAGGGTGACCTGAAATGTGCTAATTAGTGTGGGGGATATTTTTAGTAAAAAAATCTGATGCAACATACTTTGTTGAATAAACATATCTTTTTTTTTCTTCAAAGGATCTGGATTTCTAACCCCCAAAATATAGGGGGTAGCCGCAATCTGGGAAATATAGTTCCAATAGTTTGGTCATTAGAGCAGCCCAAAGTTTTGACCCCTTAACCCCTTGAATTATGCTGAAATTCAAAACAAGCTGTGCCTAACTTATGCACCTGAATGTTCTCAAAAAAAGCCTAAGACGAGAGAGACACACAGAGGATAAAAGAGTAGGAAACTACATATAAAATACCTATTCATGTGAAGAAGAGATAAGAGCCCATTCCGACGTTCTTGTTTAGCCCGAGATTAAGACGACGAGTACGGCGGCAAGTGATATTCATGTTTGGCATGAAATGTCTATTACAAGCTAGACTTGTGATATTCATGTTTGAGATGAAATTAAATAACGAGCCTGACTCGTGATATTCAAGTTGGGCCTAAATTTTTCATCGCAAGTCAGTCTCTTGAAAATAGTGCAAGGGGTTAATGTTAGTTTTCCTTTTTGCTTATTTTGCCATATTTCTCATTTTTCAAGCGAATTTGAAATTTTTGTACTTAATTATAAAATTTATTATTTATTGTTTTTCATTATTATATTTTATGAGAGTCAAAAAATTTTTGAATTGTAAGGTATGCATATTATTACATAATTTTCATGAATGTAATTTTATGTTTTAAAAATAGAAAAATTTGAACAAAATCGGTTGAATAGTTTCTGAGAAATCTTAATTTCAAATGTACACTGTAATAATTTATCTGTCTTGCAATTTAAAACTTTTTCGACTCTTATAAATAAATTAATTAAAAACAAATAATTACGAATTGTTTTTTACATGGAATTAATCATCTTTCAGAAAAAAGTTTTTTTCAATTCTCTTTAAAAAAATATGTGAAAAGGCGAAATATACAAAAAGTAAAATCACTTAAGTGATCCAAACTTTGAAATGCTCTCCTGGCTCAACTAGTGTGACCATATTTCCCTAATTGCCTCCTTTATGTACAGGGTCAGATATTCTGTAAACAACAAAAAGTATGTTTATTCGGAGAAAGTACACTTTTGTGCCTGACTTTCAAATTTAAAATATTATCTATACTAATTAATTAGCATATTAGGGTTCACCCTATGGAACCATTAAGATTGCGTTCCAGATCCGATCAGTTGATCAAAATTTATTCAAGAGGATTCAGTGTTTGTTGTTTTTTTCCCTTGTACGGAATCTTAATGTATGTTCAGAATGTTCAAAATAAAACTACACATTTAAAAATTAATTTGCAAAATTTTATGTATCACTTTAAGTTGTCATGTCTCTTATATACTTCAGTGTTGGAGAGTAGATTAGTGTAGACAGCTAGAATAATACTCTTATGTATTAATCAAAATTTCTCTAAAAATATTGCAAGATTCATAATATATTTGTTTTTCTCACTGTCATATACAATTGAATGACAACACACGTGATTGTCAAATCCTTAACTGTAAAACAAGGTTATTGTGATTGAAAAGGAATTTTCTTAATTTGATTTTTAATTTCAATTTGAGACTATTTTTATTCATTGTTAAATGAATATTAGCTATTATGTTGCGTTTGATTAGCATTTTCTTATTAATAAATGATGGATTTATACAAGGGGTGCTTCAGTAGAACAATCGTTTAAAATGCTGCTCAATTCGAAGATAGAGAGCCTGAGGTTGTTAGTTTGATCTGTGCAGCTGATTCAAAGTTCGAGTTAAATCTCCCAAAGTCGAAAAGTTTTCTCATTTACTGTGGGGTGGAAGTTTGGAGAAAGTTGTACTACCTCAGGTGATGTCCATGTCACCTTATGAAGGTCAAAATTATGTGGCATTCATGCTACAGCTGTTAAACGATAGAGCCCTGAGAAACAGGGCTAGGTGCTTGGCCATTGTTGGGTGCCTTAAACAAGGATATGACTCCCTTAGGCCGTTTACAAAAATTAAAAAATTATCATTAAAATATTTTTTCAAGGTGTGCTTTTACATATATACTATTAACCCTTTGACGGTTAGGGAAATGGGCAGTATTACGAGTAAACAGTTGTTGAAAGTGGGAGTTGTTTTAAAAATTTCTTAAAGTATTTGCAGTGCATAAATAACAGTTTTTGCATACTTGAAAATAATTTATAAATTAAATTATTCAATAATAAATTATAAATATAAGACAAATATTAAATTGAGAGGACTAAATATATACAACTAATGTAAAACTTTATGAAGCATTTAAATACAGTAATTACCTAAAATTCTTTAACAATCATAGTCATCATCATAATTATATAACTTTCACTTTTTAGCCATTTTACTTTACAAACACCCGAAAAAAAGCACCAAAATATTCAGAAAAAGAACAAGGTAAAGAAACATTTCCCCCTTCATTATGAAAAGAAATTCATGGAACCCGTACAGCCATTTGTAGACGGTAAAACTAACCACATTTCATGCATAAGATTTGTTTGTTACATAATCTATGCAGAATAATAATGGGAAACGAGCTCAGCTCGTCAGTGCGCATTGAGGAAAAATTTCAATACGCAAGTAGTGCTCGTTTCTAATCATTTCGGTCAAAATCTTGCTTTCGAGCGGAACTCTTTTGCTCGCATTATGAAGCAACGTTTGAATGAGAACCGAATTCTTACATAACCTTCAAAGGATTAATGGGGGGAAATGTTGCGTTATTAACAAATTTTTTTTGTTAGTTTCTAACTTTTTATTAAAGTTAAACATTACTTTCTCAAAATTAGTCCAATAATTGTTTAGCAATGAGTTAATATTTACGATATTTTTGTGCACTCGCTATGTACCACCCTCAGGGTATAGGGTCTGTTCCCTTCCCCCATGGAGGATTTTGAGCATCCCACGTCCGTTTACCGAAAAGGTCTCCTTTCCGGACACTTTGCAAACTGACCACAAATGTTTATATTGACTTTTAGGGTCTCCTTTTAACTTAATGTAAAACCCGCAATTTTGAAGCAATTCATTAAAAATAAACAAAGGATAGTCTACTAAGTGCAATTCTTGAAATCTTTTTTGCTAATGTTCTAAAATATTTTCTTCTTTCTTTTTTAGAGTTAATGTTGCTTCCTTGATAATGGTAACATTGCAAGGAAAAATGGAATACTGCACTGAGTAAGTGGTTTTATAATTTTTATTATTTCTCTAGCTAAAAATACTGTTTATTTTCAATTCAAGTTGTGTTGTTACTAATCCTAATAATTAATATTTACGATTGTTAATTCTACTTAAGCTTTTGCCTCTGGCTGGTATAACAAGTTGACCAGAATGGCGACCTTCATCATACGATTGCGCCGTAAACAAAAGATTAAAGTATCTCGAAGGATTGTAATGTGAAAATTTAAAATTACAATATTGTTATTTTTACTGTCAGAAGTTATACAACCTTATATTTGCTTGATTAGGAAATTGGTCTCAATATTGAAGAGTATGGTTATTTATATTTTCCGAGAATTTAACATATAATAATATTTAGTTGTCAACTGCCAATATTGTTAATCCCATTTACATTGAATTAAATTATTAACACTGTTTCATAAATTAAAGATAGGAAATTCAAAAATCCTCATCAAGACAGTCGACAGTGGTCTTTGACCTTCTCCATGTTGTTCTTCTTGTTGCTGGGTCTTGCTAGTAGAATTTCTTGATTGTTTTAAAATCAACGTTATTGAAGTGTTCAGCCTCTTCGAAGTTTTTGTTATTTTCTAGCCTTGCTTCTTGTTGGTTTGTGTTTGAATATTTTAGCTGAGCTAGTTATATTTAAACAGCAAATGTGTCTAGCAAATATCCTTCTAGCAGAAAAGAAAATTAAAAACCACCAATTACTGTGTTAAGAAAAATATAAAAAATCGTGTCATGAACATGCATATTTTTTCCCTTAAATTTCTCCTTTTGCAAATTATCAGCAAAATTTGTTATCTAAAGTTGTCATGCAAACCAATCTAAAAAATAATAAAGAGTTTACTGAGTTAAGTATTTAAAATGCTAATATTTTTTGTGTGATTTTTTTTTTTTTTTTATAATTTTTCAGTATTTTGAAAACACTAGTGGCTGAACTAATTGAGAAATGCATGGAAGGAAAAAGTCATCCGAAATTGCTCCTGAGAAGGTATGTAGATGTGTTAAATTAGTTTGTAACTTACCTAAATTTTACTGTATATAACCGACTAATGTGCAATTATTAATCCATAATTACTGTGATTTTGTAGTCAAAATTGAGTAATAAAAATTGTGGTTGTTGAGCATTTTCTTAATAATCTGTAAGAAGAAGTTTTTTCCTTTAATTAATAGGAATTATCATTTTTTGTTAGCAAATATTCAAAAAATGTAGCACTTAATGTTTCTCTTTTATATTTAATAGTATTAATTTTAATTACATATTATTTTCATATTTAATAGTATTACTTTATTAATATGTTACTTTTTCATGCATACTATTGCTATTAGGTTTATACCCATATATAATAAAGTAGTAATTATGCATTTTGTCTTTAATTCTCTTTATTTGATCTAACGGACAAAAAGTGAACACTTATTTTGTACTCTGTGTTTCATTAACATGAATTGTTTATTTTTACAGAACAGAGTCTGTAGCTGAAAAAATGCTTTCTGCTTGGTTCACATTCCTTTTGTACAAGTTCCTCAGAGTGAGTTTTTATTTCAACATATTTGTTTTATGTCAAGAGTATATTAAAAACCATTGTATTTATTTTATTGGTCTTTCTTTTTACATTGTAAATATTCTTGAATTAAGTAGAGCAAGGCTCGAAAAAACTCAGAACTTTACCCGTCTTGAGGACGGCTTATCCAACAATGTACCCGTCCTCCTTTGAAACTAACCCGTAGCTTCAAAATAAATAAAAATATAATTTTCTCTTAGAAATACTAGGTTACTAATTGTAACCTAGTATTTCTTTTATGAAATAATTTAAGTGACGAAGGTCAAGTTATCTGGAATGTCAAGTTATCCGAGGGTACTGCATTTTTTAAATAAATCAAATATGACGTTTGCCAGTTCCACAATCAAGCCAATGATTTACAGAGGCTTCTGCACAGAAATCTGAAAAGGGTTTTCCATTTAAGTAGATTTTTATAATTGCACTTAACGCTTCTAGTTTAAGACCAGTACGTAATGTGTGTGTGTGTGTTTTTTTATTTATTTTTTTAAGTTCATTGCTGAAAAGCCCCTTTTAACCACTGCAGTACTCCCAGACAGAGAAAACATCAATTCCACCATGCCCAGTATGTTGCTGTATTGTGGGTCATTTTTCTGCATTAGGTCTTCATAAATAGGCGCTAGACTCTTGTAAGAAAACAAAAATTGAAAATGTATCGCGAACATTAACAGGAAAATGACTATCCGCGCGGACGTCGAATTCGAGAAATTCGCTGTCCCCGGGGAATTTTTTTTACCGCCGAGGACGGGCGGTTTTTCGAGCTCTGAAGTAAAGTCATTTTTCTATTGAAATTTTCTGTACTTATTGTGTAAATTTATTTATTTCCAAACCTGTTTCTTTTTTATTACATTTCAAGCATTTTCAAGTCATTATTTGATCATGATTAAAAAATATTGTCCTATATAAAATTGTCAGATTCACCCGATATATTAAATCCATTAATTAGCCAATGTAGGCCCTATATAGGGAATTCTAAGACCAATATTCAAAAAACTTGTCATCCCAATATTGATTTCTCTATGTATATTCTTATAGGATCCATATCGAGCCAGTTTTGAACCCAACTGGGGGTCAAGGCAAAATTGTTGCCATTCCACAGGGAAAACCTAGAAAATGCAGGGAATTTTTCCTTACAAACTGGAAAAAAAAACGGAATTTTCGGCTCTTAAATATGCAAACCTCTCAAAGCGCATCCAATATATAAGGATGATAGTTCATCTTTAAATATTCCATAGATAAAATAAAGCTATAATTTGGCTTGCTTTATTAAATTATTTAATTTATTATCGCATTATTTCTTTTATATTGAGCTGTATCTATCGTTATCCTAGGATAGTATAGTGCTCGTGTGTTTCCTCATAATATAATGTGTATAATATATGCCGGAAAAACGGAATTTTTTTCACAGATATGAGTGGCAACCCTTTAAATAGTTGACCTTTCTTTTCCAATACTATATGTTAAGTAGCAATATTTTTTTATTATTCTGACAAATACCTGTATTTGAGAGTAGTGTATTGAATGTTTCAGGAGTGTGCTGGAGAGCCTCTGTTCATGCTGTACAGGGCCATCAAGCAACAGGTAGATAAAGGACCAGTAGATGCAGTCTCCAGTGAGGCCAGATATTCACTGTCTGAAGAGAAGCTCATCAGGCAGTCTATTGAGTACAAGAGCATGGTGCGTTCATTCCCCCTTTATTACATTTTATAACAATGTGACTAGCCAAAAACTGGAATTTTCTGTTTTCTCCTAAGATGAATACAAACTTCTGAAAATACATTGTAAAATATATTAATAAACTCTCCATAAATGCCTTCTTTTGATTTCACTGAATCGTAATCAAGTATTTAATTCTGAAGGAATACAACTCCCTGTTTTTTTTTAATATCTTTAATGATTTTGAAATGGATAGATGGCCTAGAAAAAGACCTTTTGGTCTTAAAAACTGAAAAACACTAGCAGGAAAAAGGTTGGCCTGGTAAAAACTTCTTGAAGGCTAAGGCCCACCCTGGGCTGTCGAGCCATTGATGATGATATTTATGGACAATTTATATTTTTTCTCCTTTATTGTTACTTTGTATACACGTTGATTACTACAATTGTCGATTGCTAGTTAAGCATTTTTTTTTCTCTTTTAAGGAAGGCTATCTTAAAATCTAGATTTTTAGTGTTCTCGAATTTTTGCGCATCCTGCTTTTGCCCATGATCTTGCATTCTGTGTGGTCGAGCTTTTACTGTTTATAATTATATAACTGGTGCTTGACTCACCTGTAACAGAAAAACTAAAAATATTTTCATGTGCAATTTTATTAAAAATGGCACTAAAAGAATTGAAATATACAGTATTAATACTAATGAGTGACCCTATTTTAAATATATTTTATAAAACTCTATTACAATAAATGACACTTGAATATTCAAAGTTTTTTTTTACCTGCAAATGTTTGTTTCACAACAAGCATCTGTAATACAAGTCGACAAGCAGAGTTTGTTCCACACATTTTTATAGTTTCACACATACTGTTGCATAAATATGTTCTTTAAGCTCTTAAAACAATGTCTTTGACGTTTCCCCCACAACTAAGTTAAGACATATTGGTCAAGAGTCACTGTCATACTACTTACTGTGTATTAATTAGTGTTACCAAAAACACTGAATCTACAAAATGAAATGTGTGGAACTGACAATTATATAGATGTGATAAACAATTGACATATATCTAAAATAACTTTGTAAAGTTTTATTTAATTTTGTGTATTACTTATTGTGTATGGCTGAAACAGGGTCGATCATTTGCCCATAAGTATTACTAAGGAATATAATACCAAAAAATATCTTATCTAAATTCATTACATTCATATTTTTCTAAAATATGACATTGTTTTTATATATTTAATTTGACGAGATAAAAAAAGTTTTCTTTTAAATGCATGCATTCTGTCAGAAAATTTTAAATTGTAAGAAAGTTACTTAATCCTGAACATTGCTTATTTTATTTTCCTTAAAAAAAAGTCTTATAAATTGTCTATAAAAATATTGTTAGTCTTATGAATTGTTTGATCTTGTATATGAAAAAAAAATCAAACTCATTTTATTACTTTAGAAACATCCTATTTTTCTTTCTCTTTACTCAATTTCTTTAAAAACATGACAAATGATATTTGACATTTTTTTTATTTGAATATTTTAAATCAATGACTTTTTATTTGGGTGATTTAAATCATTGTATTGTTAATTTTTTTAAGTCATAAATGTGTGAACTGATTGTTTCAGACGGTGTACGTGTCGATGTCTTCACAGACTGTGTACGTACAGGGTTTGGAACCTCACGGAGAGAACATTGAGACACCAGTCAAAGTATTAGATTGTGATACAATTTCGCAGGTGAAAGAGAAATCACTTGACGCCATTTACAGGAACACACAGTTCTCACAGAGACCAAGTAAAGATGGACTCGACTTGGGTAAATTTCTCGTTTATTATCGGTTACAAATTTCCGTTTCATCACTTTTATTTGTATTATAAACAGAGTTGCACAGCTTACCAATTTTTGAATTTACAACTAAATCTTTATTTAATTTCTGATATTAAATTGGAGCATATATCTTGGATAGCATGCATATATTTCATAGATTTTGGATATTAGATTAGCACTAAAGCTTTATTTAATTTTGTTATTAGATTTGATCAGCTTCTTGCACAAAATCTATTCAACTTATCAGCCTATTTGGTAATCGATAAAATTAATGTACAGTTGTGCAGTCCATAAATTTGTAATAAAAATATACCGTTAGTTTTAGTCTTGCAGATCCCAGTAGAACACCGAAGTCGAGCATCACTGGCTGCGGTCAGTTAGTAGGTGAGTGATCGCTTTGATCAGCCTGCGTAGGGACCGTCGGTATCGGTTCTCGTTAAACTGTTTCCCATAAAATGCTCGACTTTCCGCATAGGTTGTCGGGCTAACAAAGCACGGAAGCCATCCCCTCTGCAGAGGATCGAAATTGCAATGTCATGTCTTCAGATCATCCTCAGGAATGTTTCCCAGACTGTCGCCAATAGCTCATTGTGCAGTTCTAGTGTGACGTAAACAGGATTGGGGTTTTTGGACATCCTAAACTGGTTTTGGACAGGTTTTTACTGTCTTAAAGTGTCCCAAACCTTGAACATTGGTAAAAGGTAAAGAATATAAGAAATTCTATGTGTGTAACCATTGTATACATAATAATTACATATTATAAATATTTGATACCTATTATACAATTTGCTTTGACTTATTAAAGGAAAATAACATGAGCTCCTCAATTCATGAAACAACAAAAGTGAATACCTTATCCTTTTAATATGAATAAAAAATGATTTTATTACTGATAAATAATGCAATATTAAAAATAACACTTTTTTAATAAAGCTTGCCTTTATTCCGTTGTTTTTTCAAAAATTAGCCTTTTATTTTTCACAATATTTTTACAAATTGTGACATAATTTGAATAAAAGGGCTTTGGACAAACAGGTTTTAGACAGGACAACCATGGATTAATCCTTTCTGTCTTAAACCTAGCGAACTCAGGACATAAATACCTACCTACCTATTTAATTTTGACCCCAACCGAAGATACAAAGCATCTCCTGGATCAAACAGTGGGACATGTAAACCTTTGTGGCTCATGAAATGTATAATTCTACCCCACATTTATGTCACATGAAGAGGGAATCTCCCATTGCTAGACCAACAATAAGGAAATTCTAACCCATGATCTGTCTACCACTGAGGTAGGCAAAAAAATGAATAACTTAATTTTGTTGAAAAGTTATTGCTCAAATGTGCAATTCAAAATTTGTGTCTTAGTACCATATTTAAAATATTGGGAAGAAATGTGAAAATGGGTAAAAAAAAAATCATTAATAGTTGTAAATGTTTAAAAAGTTTTTCTGTCTCATTAGCTGAAGAAAAAATTTTTTAAAAAATGAAAATTGTATTTCAGAGTGGAGAGCTGGCAATTCAGGGCGTCTCACACTTTCAGATGAAGACTCCACTACAAAAACTGAAGGAGAGTGGAAAAGGCTCAATACTTTAGCTCATTACAAAGTAATACTCTTTTCATAATTTTTTTTAAATGTGAAAACTCTTTAATGGAGTAAGTGGATAGAGGTGTGTAATATTTAAAAAAGTACAGTAGAGAACCGATTATCCGGAACGATCGGGACCATCGCTATTCCGGATAACTGATTTTTCCGGTTTTCTGAATCGCTACAAAAAGCCGTTTTATTATTGTTAAATCCAACTTAAAAAAAAACATGTTTGGAAATAATCTTAAAAAGAAGGAAAAACGATGAAGTAATACACTAATGATTATTTCCAAAATGATGGTAAGGTAAACATCTTTCAAANTTTGCAGCTTTATTTGCTTGCTGAAGAAACAATTTTTTATTAAAATTGAAATTGTATTTCAGAGTGGAGAGCTGGCAATTCAGGGCGTCTCACACTTTCAGACGAAGACTCCACTACAAAAACTGAAGGAGAGTGGAAAAGGCTCAATACTTTAGCTCATTACAAAGTAATACTCTTTTTGTAATTTTTTTAAATGTGAAAATTCTTTAATGGAGTAAGTGGATAGAAGTGTGTAATATTTAAAAAAGTAATATGTTATTACCATTCATAAAGAAGATATGTTTTAAAACACTATCATAATTGTTTTAGAAACTTGTCTAGTTTTTCTTCATGCCACCTTCATCCGCTTTCCCTTCACAAGCTCTCTGAGTTCATGATTGTCAAAAGTATCAAATAAAACATGTATTTATTTTTGTACTCCTACCATTTAGCAAAAGGATAGATCGGCGTGGTAATTTTAATTTTTCTTGCACAAATTTGTAATCGAACATGAAAAACAGTGGTTATTGTTGCAACCAGTTGTAAATTCAGAAAATATGTGTTTTCCTAATAACAATTCTAATAGCAAATGATGCTATTAGAATTGTTTCGTAATAGCAAATGACTAGGAATCTTTAACTCGGTCTAAACATACAATTTTTGCATCTTAAATGTTTTGACGGCAACTGAAAAATTTGCCATACTCGTTACGTAGAGTTTTTTACTGCATGTCTTCTTGCGATTCCACCTGCAGCATTTAATTAGCTCAATTTAAAGTTTGCCTCATGAATCATTCAGATAGCACATTAAATCAGATTTTTAGTTGAATTTACAATCTTCTGTTTTCATTTTGTTTGAAAAAAATTTTGTTTGAAACCTTTATTGGTCTTACATCTTAAAGTCCAAATTTCCATAATTTAGCACCCAAAGGGTCTGTTTTAAAAGTCTCTAATTTTCCTATGTGGTAGCTAAATTTAGTAACTTTTTTTTTTATTCAAAAACTATCGCTTCATAAACTGAAATTAAATGGAGGACAAATAAGATAAGTATAATAATCATTAAAAATATGTTTTAGGTTATTATTAAGCTCAAAAAATTTAACTTGGATTTTAATCAGCAAATACGATGGGTAAAATATTATATCAAAATATGGTTACGACTAGTAAAAATTTTTGCAACCAGTCTGTAACTTTTTCACGAAATAATTGTGCTACCGCTAAGGACTAACCACTGCAATCATTTTAAGCGTCTTATGCAAGCATTGCGCATATACCTCTTGCTATTTAAAAGCAACAATAAACAACTCATAATACCCTCCTGAATAATTAAAACCACTGGAAATTATGCTTGCTATGATTTGTACCCACGTCAAATTGTTACTGCTACGAATTGCACCCACAACAAACTGACGCTCCAAGGAATCTTGGATTTAAAACAAAAATATATAAACTAAGCATGTTGACAGTTTTTTTAACAATTTTTTTAAAGTATGTTTTCTGTGCATTTGCTTAAATATTAGTTTAAATAATGTTGTAAATGTCATTTCCAAAGTAAATGGCATTTCCAAAGTTTATTCTTTACTTCAAACTTTATTATTTGAAATTTTAAAAGATTGTAAAATTTTAAAACAAAGGCAACAATTATTTACGTATATTTCATTTTACTACTTTAAATATCAATATCTGTGATGATTTAAAAAAATTTTAATATCTTTTTAGGTCCCTGATGGTGCATTGTTGACACTTGTGCCAAAACAATCATCTATGTATAATCTAACTATCATGACAGACAAATTAGAGAAATCTCATAAATATGGTAATTTTGTTTAAAATAAATTTCTGATTACATTCATAATTAATTTGTTAAGACTTAAAATTATTTTTAATTTTGTATGGTGAAAATTATTTGAATTTATAAATTCTTATATTATTATTACGGTATAGAAACCGATTTTTCAAATCCCAATAATTTTATAAAAATCAAGGCTTCATCAGCTTGTACTGCGGCAATAAAGCCGGTCATCTGTTGATTGTGAAATTTCTATGCATTATAAACAATGAGATAGATATGAATAACTCTGCATTACTTTAACTCTTTCAAAAACTATTTTTAATATATTATTTACAATTAATTTTGCATTTTTTCTCATATTTTCTTTACGAATAAAAGCTTTATTAGAACAATGCTTTAAACTACGTTCAGGGGAAAAAAATTAAGAAAATTTATTTAAATGAATTTCAAAAAATTTAACACAATAAAAAATTTTCAGGCATAAGGAAAAGCTGCAAACTAACATACCAAAAATTTCTTATCAAAAATAGGAAATATCTTGTCAAAATGTATAGATACAGTTTTCTTTCCAAAACCAAGTGAATTATCAATTTTTGTTATTTTGCATACATTTGTTTTGCATTCAATTTTACTTTTAAATGAATTAAATTTTTTTTTTTCAATTCATTTCAATTTTATTTTATTTTTTTCTGTATGAATAGATTACTTTACTTTTTTCTGTGTGATTAAATTATGTATAAATACCATTAAGTATACTTTCATTTTTTTAGTAAATTAAACAATGTTGATGAAGAATTTATATAGATTTATTTTGTTCCTCCCCCTGCCCTAAAATTCTGTATGAAAATATTTATATTAAATTTTATTTTCTAAATTGTTTGAAAGAAATTGTTTATCATTATTTATTTTCTTTGCTTTCAGAAACATTAAATTTTGCATTAAAAACTAGTCCTCCTTTAAGTAGAGCAACATCACCTATGAATCATGATCCTGAAGGTGGCTACAAATATTGGCACTTGGTAAGACATCTTTCTTGAAATAGGGGTCATTCAAATATTTCCTCAGCATGATTTTGAACTCTTCCCCATTTCGTTCTTATGTAATATTTGAAAATCTCCGTATTACAGTTTTCAAGCTTGAAATTCATCTGCTTTCTATTTATTTATTTATTTTTTTATATCATTTTCGAAATCCATAGCATTTTTAAAAAATGCTTAAAGGTGTATTTTTTTTATTCAGGATTTGTAAAAAGTGCTTAATTTTCTATTTTTTAAAAAGATATTTTTTCTTTGCCGTATCGATTGTCGTTTTAAATTACAAAAAATGCACAATTTTTTTCTCTGCAATATTTATCAGAAACTAGTTATTTTATCATGATTATGTAAAGTTTTTGAATTTTGATTTTATGTTTATAAGTTAAGAACTTTAAACGATAGAAAAAAATAATTCTTATTTAAGTTATAATAATTTATAAGTTTGAAAAGCAGGCATAAAACCTCACAAGATAGTTGAGTAGTTTTCTAAATTTTGAATGAAAAGTAGAATCTGCATATTCAAAAGTTGTGAAATTTCAGTTTGTGCATCATCCCTTCAGTGCTAAGGACTTAAGGACAATATTCAGTTAATTCATTTTCAACAAAAATGAATTCAAAATTAAATTTTTCCCATCAAAAAAGTTTTTTCTTATTTGGTTTATCTTGAGATTATCTATAACCATTTTTATAGCTATAGTATTTGTAGAAGGAAAAAAAACTTTGACGTATAGTGTCTTACACCATGTATTTAATTGTGCCTTTTGATGAAACTGTCAGTATTCTATGTATGGTATGAAGCTGCATAGTCTAGTGCAAAGCCTGTTCTAACCCATGGATGTTTATTGAATCAGTCTTATCTAAAAATTTTAGGGAGCCCTATTTTGAAGAAAACCTCTGAATCTTCATCTAACCAGTTTTAATTGTTATCATGAGTCCTAAATGGCAAATTTGAAATTTCTATAAACATAAAAAACATCCAGGCACATTATCTTATTTCAAAAGCGCCAAACATCCTGTAAGTTTGACTGAAGATACTTCTAATAGAGCAGTGATCTCCAAATTTATGAAATGTTTGAGCTACCGTACCATTTTTAAATAATATCGTTAGCTACAAACCATTTAAAAATAGAAAAATTACATTTGGGTTATAAATTGGTTCGAGAAATCAAAGTTAACATTAATGTGATCTATCAAAAATGTCTCATGTCTGGAAAATAACCAGTTTTACAATTGTTGGTAATAATAATCATTTATTGAGATTCAGGTTAAATAATTCCAATCAGGGGTACTACTCTTCAATCCTGAGGACTGAAATCAGTCTTGAGAAAAAAATCAGTGGGATGAAATCCAACTTCCAATTAATATTTATTCCCATTTAGTTTTGTAAATTAAGTTTAAAGAATAAAAAATTTTATTTCTTTTAAAAAAAATGAACTATTATTTTCTGCCTAATCAATAAAAAAATATGGGATTATTTTCCAAAAAATTATAATTATAGAAATAGGACAAAATTTGATAATGAAGGAGGAAATAAAGATTGGTGTAAAAAGATATGAGGTTGTTTGTTGTTTCTGTTTTGTTTGCCATAAAAAAGGAAAAATAAATACATCTTTAAGTAATAAAGTTAAAGATATTATATCTATATCATTCTTGTGTAAAAAAAGCTATAAATTTCTCAAAAATGCTGCTAAAAAACATGTATCTATCATATTAATTGGTCAAAAATTAAGTTCAGTCTTTAAATTTATTTAGAGTATCGCCCATGATTCCAATGCCTATTATGATGAAAATTCCTCATTTCAGTAAAACTTTTCATATTTTTGTTATTTAGTGATATTTTGTTATTCATGAAATCTGATGTTTGACGTTGAAAATAAAGTCTTGTTTTCTCAATGATAAATTACATTGTATAGATAAAACAAGTAATTTTATTTTTGAAATTAAGTAAGAACCCTGTTAAAAGATTGAAAAAGCTCGATTCTCATTTCTGGACTGTGGGTCTATACTTATTTTTAAATGATTTTAGTTCAAAGAAGAAATATTTATTTTGAATTTAACAATTTTAGGTGAGGCATCATGATGCAGAACAGAAAGAAGGTGAAAGAGGAAACAAAATGGTTTCAGAAATTTATTTAACACGTTTATTAGCAACAAAGGTAAGATTTTTATTTCTAGTCTCTTTTGATTTCTATTTCTTGCATATTTTAATTCTTAAGGCAATTGACAAAGTTCTGAATGAAAATTCTATTCTTGTATGAACTAGGTAAAGCTGAAATGAACTGTAATATAATTAGTACAAAAATTGGAAGGTTACGAAGGAAAAGTTCATATCAACAAACTAAATGCTCTTATATTATGTTTTAATCTTACTTGTGCAGATTCAATAAAAATAATTTTGTTTAAAATTTACTCTCGATATCTCAAAGGTGAAGGGCTGCTGAAAAGTTTCAAGATAGGGAGTTTTTTCAGATAACAATTTCAGAACTAAATATGTTCTAAAAAGTAGAAAAATTCTAAAATAAAGTAAGACAAAAATAATTTGAAAATAATTGGTTTACTATGAACTTACACTGTGATTTTTGTGAAAAAATTCATTTTCCTTTTTCAAAATAATTCGACAGAACAAGGTTTCGAGAAGAAATCCTTCAATATAGAAATTCAAATTAACATTAGGTGGATATGTAATGCTAAGGGGGCAAATATTTTTTTGACGTATCAAGGATTTCGAGAGTATACTGTATAATAATGATAGTTTCACAGCGTTAGCTCAAAGTTCTGAAATTTATAACTCTGTTTTTTTACTAAGTTGTGAATCTTTAATAATAATTTCTTTTGAAAAGCATAATTACTTTTTTTCATCATGGTTTTCAATTTATTGTCATTTACTTCAATTAAAGATCTTTTGTTTCGATAACTATTTATTGACTAAAAACTTTTTTAAGAGGAATTAAGTTTAAAAATTGATTTAAATTCTTAAGATTTATGCATTTCAAATATATTTAAATTGGTAGTTAGTGAAGCAAAAATGTTTTCGAAAGCGAACTATGTAAGATTATGAATATGATTGCAGTGCAATGCAGGGGTTAAGGAACCTCTGCAAATGATTGGTGGAGTGCACTTTTTCAGTGTAATTCCTGTATAATATGTTAATATTTTAGAGATTTTTTTATTCAATTAGATTTCTGAATTAATATTTAAAAAGAAACATTTTTTTAAAAACATTTTTTTTTTATTGATACTATTTAAACTTTTTTTAAAATAAGTATTAAATTGAAATGTGTAGGACAGTTTGTTGCATATTCATAATTACCAATTTATGGTCTACTGGTATCATAAAAATTCTCTTGATTTTTGTGCATTTTAAAAAATTCCTTAAAATTGAGTAAGTTATTGAAAAGAATCTCTATTAGAATAGATTTTTTACACAATTTATTGCTTGGAAATTTATATTTCGTAAAATCTACTGGATTTTTTTTTATCAATGTTGGCAGCTATATTCATTAATATGCATATAGCTTATCAAATTGTTTTATTATGAAAATTAATATATTATTTACTTATGATGATGCAAAAGTGAATAGACATCAATCTTAGTGCAATTCAAGTTATTTTCTTTCAAACGCACATTTGTACCTACATTTTCTAAATGCTTGATGCCACATTTGTTTAAACTTGGAATTACAGGGATTGTTTAAGTAGTTGTTCAATAACACTTTCTCTAATCCACACACAGGGTACTTTGCAGAAGTTTGTGGATGATCTTTTTGAAACAATCTTCTCCACAGCTCATCGAGGGAGTGCCTTGCCATTAGCCATCAAATACATGTTTGATTTTTTAGATGATCAAGCACTCAATCATGGCATCACAGATCCTGAAGTAGTACACACATGGAAGTCCAACAGGTACTCAATCACTTTTTTATTTTCTCTCTGCTATGTTAAGATGGCATAAAATACACTTAAGTTAGATTTTATTTAAAAATTATAATTGATATTATTCCCGTGGCAGAATTGCGGCGACATTGTCACAGAATGTTACAGAGCTTTTGCATTTGGGAAGGGAACAATTTTGGTTTTCCTTTCTCCATAAGTTCTCGAAAAATGTTTTTTTTTTCTGCAAAATTATTTTTCAAAGATACCTTTCTTGTGCCTCAGAGAGTGAAGAAAGCATCGTGATTTTTCTACTCTCATTTGTGATTTTTAAAAAAAAGACCATAATGACTGGCTTCAGCTAGAATTTCAAATTAATAATATAAAATAAAGAATTCAGAATTCGCGAAAGTTTAAAAGATAGTTCCGTCTAGAAATTATGTTCTTTCTTCTGTTTTTTTTCTTCAGAGCATGTTTTACGCACAATTGTTTGAGTATCTTTTTTAAAGAGTCCTATTCGCGTGAATTTGTCTCGTCGATCTTTATTTTAGAGTAACTGCACAGATTTTACAAATTTTATGTATTTATGTACACATTTTAATTTATTATCGTTTAATTTATTTGCAAATTTTAATTTTTGTAATGATTTACAAAACTCAAAAGAGGAAATAATCGTGCACTTTTCCGCCTGCAAAATGCGAGAAAGCGTCTATAATATTTGAATTAAAAAAATATAGCTTTTTCAATTAAAGTTTTCATACATTTTTATTCTATACTTTCTTCTGTAAACACAATGTTTCTGTTACTTCCAATTAGTAATTATTATAATTAAAAGTATCTTAAAGAAAAATATTAATGCTAGGGGAATTTGTCGCAGAAAGCTGAAAAAAATTCTGCCACTGGAGATATTATAATGTATTCACATGATCTGATGATTTCCGTTTCGTATTACAGCCTTCCACTGAGATTCTGGGTGAACCTTATAAAGAATCCTAATTTCGTATTTGATAGTCACAAGTCAAATATAGTAGATTCTTGCCTGTCTGTTGTTGCCCAGACATTCATGGATGCCTGTTCCACATCAGACCACAGATTAGGAAAGGACTCCCCCAGTAGCAAACTTCTCTACGCAAAGGACATTCCTGTTTACAAAGATTGGGTCGAGAGGTATTTATTATTTTACAGCATTTCCTTCAAAATGACTCTCCCCTCTTTACCTGTATATTCTCATATTTCTCCTTATTTGTTGAATAAATTATTTAAGAAAACAAAAAAGAATTATGCATTAAAATATCCCAGAGATGATTGTGTTCCGAAAAAAATCCGGATTTTTCGATTGACGCGATCCGGAAGTTTCCGGAAATCCGAGATCCAAAAGTTTCAAGAAATTATTGATCACATTTATGTATTTTTAAAAAAAATGTTTTATTTAGAAATATTATACTTGGCATCTCTTGCATTTGTAAATATTTTTTCTGGTAGAATAATAAATGTGATTAAAGATAAAAGTAAACTTACGCATTATATATTCATTTAAATTATGCTGCATATAATTCATTTAGTATTTGGTGTTTTGAAAATATCAATGATTTAAATTTATAAAGACATTAATTTTTTTTAAATATGTAATTAATGATTTTATTGGAGAAATTTTCAGGATTTTTGAGTTGGGCTCACAATCACCCCTGATATCCCCTGTTGGGATCGATACTTTTCAACAGATACTGCTATTGCCAGTTCTGCAGTATGTTGATAGTTTTACATAACATACATTACATCAACATACATTACTCAACATACATTTTGGGCCAAAGGTGCGAAAATGCACCATTTCAATAAATATTTTTTTATTAAATCTATGATGTATATTTTTCACTAATTTTATTTTTCTACTATTTTAAAAGACTTCTAAAGACATTCATAAATTAATAGTAATTCAATTGGGGTAAAAACTTTCTGTTGAAAAATTTTTAAATTATTCAAGTTTTTTTTAACTTAAAGCGGGTTATTGACAAATGAACTTTTTTGAAAATGTATAATAAGTGCTTTTGAGATTTATCATATGTTTTCATGATGTATTGAAGTTGTAAGTCAGTAAATAAAACATAAAAAGGATTGAAACAAACTTCATAAAAAAACAAGCGTTCAACTAAATGGTTTGTTCACTGATTTGGTGTGGTGCTTATATGCACAATTTTAATTTTTAAATAAATTATAATTTTCATACACGAAATGTTTTTTGTGTCTTAATGAATGTAATGTAATATAATGAATGCAATGCATATTTCAATGAAAACAATACCACAATTTATAAAATTTCTATGCTTGACCTAAAATGGATTAAGTAATTATAAATAACAGTTTTAAAAAGTCTTTAGATTAAGATTTATATACATATTTTTGACTTACATGATTATACATGATGTATCAAAACTCATAGCCTAAAAAAGGTTGCTAGTAAAATCTCCGTTATTTTGTTTCTATAATGTTGGCACGTTTTTTAGTCTTAAAATTCCTTATTTTTTTTTTTTTTTTTTTAAAGTATGAAGAANTTTTTTTTTTTTTTTTTTTAGATAGATTATTATGATTCTTTCATTGATAGTTTTATGATTCTTCATTTAAAAATCTTAAGATTCTTTTTATAAGATTGTTTATATTATTAAGATTCTTTATATTATTCTATAATATTCTTTATATATGTATATATATATCTTACAGTTCTTTTAAATTCTCATTTTTAAATTTATGGACTTTGTTAAAAATGTTTGTATTTCAAATGTTTGTAATTAAATGTTGCAAAGAATTGCAACATTTTGGAAAAGATTAACTGCTTAGCTGAAGTAATACATAAAACATGGTGCGTAGCGTTTTTTAAAAAGTATTCAAATGTGCTTTTTTTCATTGAGTGTTTTTAAAAAGGGCTAATTTTCCATTTCCAAAAAGGAGATTTTTTTTTCCTTTACTGCCTATTATGCAAACCACATTGTTCTGTTCCACGTTTTCACAATTCATTCAACCACAATCCATTTCGGCGTACTGCCTGTCCATACAGTATGAAAGCGCCAATCATTTTACATATTTGATGAAATACTTCTGAGTCCACATGTACGTCTACTGAGCTGGGTTCGGTGAGATTCTTGCACTCTCATGTGCAACTCTGCCCTATGATATCGAACCAAAAAATCTCTGGATCATTTTATAATGGCTAATATTATCAATAAAAGTAAATTTTTAATTAAAATTAAGTGGAATTATAATTGTATAATTAGTTATAAGTTAATTTGATTACTAATACAGCAAAAATAAGAGCACGTAAAATAATATTTGCCTTAATATTAGAGGTATTTCACTATGCCATAAGATACTAAGAGTGCTATACTGATTATATGCTGGTTAACTTAAGCGGTTAGATGTAGTTTATTTATTGATATATCTTGATTTATCATATTAATGTTTTCTTTAAAATAAAACACTTTTTTTTGTAGGTATTATAAAGATATTAAAAATATGGCAGCAATAAGTGATCAAGACATGAACGCTATGCTTGCTGAGGAATCTAGGGTAAATCATATTTTACATTTTGAACTTCTTCTTTCCTGGTATAATTTTTTTTCTGTTGTAATTTACAAAAAAATTATGTAAATGGTTAAATTAGTTAATGTTATACTTACAAATTAACATATTTTGATTTTTCATAACAGCAACAATTTAATTTTAAGATATTGGATTACCTTTTATTTCTAATTTTCGTATAATTTCTTTCCTACACTGCAATTAGTTATGAATTGTATATATTAAACATTCCTAGAATCAAGTGTAGGTTTTGGTATTTTAAAAAAAATATTATATACTGCAATGAACTTTTTCATTGTATCAACAAGTATTTATTAAATAAAATTTTGTTGTCATACTTAGTGATGCAATTAAACTATATTGAGCATAGAAAATTTTTATCTAACAAATAGTTCTGCAAAGACATAAATGGCTTACAGAGGCATAAATAGTTCATATGTTGTTATCTAGGGTTATAGCTGTAAATAAGTATTTCCCACTTACAGTTAGTTCATCAGGGACTGAGGCATAATTAGTTCTATTCCAAATATATGGTGTTCTACTCCAAATATAAGGTGTTCTACTCCAAATATAAATTGTTCTGCGACATACATTACTATTTTAAACACTTTCTGCTTTAAGACAAATTACTTTAGATAATAATCAAGATTATATTGTATTATTCACATTTTTTATAAAAAATTAAAATGTTTTGAATATGATTGTACTAAATTTATTTCATTCAAAATACGAAAATAATTTTTATTTGTTTCACCTGTTTTCTTTTGTAATTTTATCGCTTGTTTATTATTAGAATTATTGATAAATAATTGAAAAATAAGAAAATAACTTTGACGAAGTTATTTAACTTTTAACTGTTTGATTTTTCTTTATTTTTTAATTGTAAACCTTTTTTAAAGTTTTTAATTATAATAAATTTTAACCTTTTCCCAGCTTCATGCCCACGAGTTCAACACAAATGTAGCACTTTATGATCTTTATGCTTATGCAGTGAAATACAATGACCAGGTAAGTTATTCTTTTGCTTTCATTATAATTTCTAAAACACTGTTTGTCAATTTTCTTAATTGAGTAGCATAGTGTTAGCTTTAAAATGTATCTTAGAGTCCAAGATCCTTATCTTAAAATAGATTCTTATAGATTTGAAACAGTAAGGAATTTTACTTATTTAGGATGAATTATTACTATTGACAACAGAATGACACCTGCAATGTAAAACCGACTCTTATCTGGCAAATAGAGCTGTCTATGGGCTGAAAAGATTTATTAAATCTTATGTTCTTTCTAGGAAAACAATGTTCTTAATCTTCAAAACTCATGTCAGGCCAGTCTTGTCTTCTGAAGCTTGGACAATGACAAAACTGGAAGAAAATTGTATTGATTTTTTTTTTTAATATAGAGAAATTAAATTTATTTTTTCAGCTATAAAAAATCTATTGAACAAGTTTTTAAAAACTAAAGGAAAGAAAAATATAAAAATAGTCACGTGATCACATAGATATAGATCTTGTTTATCTACTTTAAAAAGCAGAAACAGATAAAGCTAATTTTAAAACTAAACATGCAATATTTATTTTCTTTACATTTGTTCATTTAAAGTTACAATGGTACATTGCATAGGACAAAATTAATAGTCTCCATATAATTGCGACTTTTTTTGCTTTTTATTTATTTATTTATTTATTTTAATAAATATGGAATTATTATAAAGGTTATATTATAAATTAACTTTATTTCACTCTAGTTTTTCTTCATTTTAGAAATAAATCTTGTATTGCTTGCCATATTTTGATAAATGCTTTAAAAGAAAGACCTTTCATTATTAATATCAGCAGTTTATCATTTCAAACTTTCAATGTTTGAAAATGCGGCAACCTGTTTTAAGAAGTGGCCACTGTTCAATAGCAAAGCTTCCTGCTTTTTAACAAAGACTCCTGTGTTTTATGACTATCTCTTGTTCCCCCTTATATTCTCAATTTTCTCCGCATTTATTGAAGAAATTTTTAAAAAATAATAATAAAAGGGGGCTATTGCTGATGGCAAAAATACTTCTGTTATTCCTCAACAGATGGTGCTATTGACAGTATTGCAGTATGATGAGTGTTTATGGTTTAAGTAATTATATATAATGATTTTAAAAAATCTTCTTTTGATTAAGATTTATATACTTTCTTTTTACTTTGCTATATGTAAGTAAGTGCTTATATTAATTCCAACTTACTTTCTTCTTGACTTACATGAGTATGCACGATGTATCAAAATTTTCCTTGTAGCCTAAAAAAAATGTCGCTAGTAAAATCTCAGTTTTTTTATTTCTCCAATGTTGGCAAGTATGTAGTTTGAGTTTTATATTTAATTGGTTTCTTTTCTATTTTTAGCTCATACAAACACTGGAAGAAGATGAGTTTTCCACTAAGAACAAGTTGCCGTGGAAACTCGCTCAGGTGCTTTCTATCATGTGTGGAGAGTCTGATGCATGACATGTGTCTACACAATAGTCCCAATTTAAAACATTCCATTTCTTCTGTTTCTAAATGCACCCATCCCCCATAATATGGTGCAAAAGAACTTTGTAGTAGCGGGGCTACTGCTCTCCTCTTGTGTTTTTTTTTCCGAAGGAATAATGTTTAAAAATTCTAAGGAATGTGTCAAAAATTCTTATGTATCATTGTCAAACCTTTATAAACACGATGTATTTATTCCTTGGGATTGTCAGTGCACAGGTACTTTTACCAAGAACAGTTTATTTGTGTGAAAAAAAGTACTTTTTTTTACCACTACTTTAGCATATGTGCAATTTATGAGGGAAGAAAAAAAAACTTTTTTTTACCGCTAACTTCAGCATACGTGCAATTTACGAGAAAACAAAAAAACTTTTGTATAAGAGGGAAACTGCATGCGTCTGAAGCAGTTAAATGGTGCTCATTCTAGATCAAGAAGCAGATAAAGTATAGTTGAAAAAAAAATATATTATAGGAGGTGCTTTAGTGTTTGCCCTCCTAGCATATATCAATGTTTAGTATTTCAGCGTGGATATAGAAAGAAGAAGATCAAGATTTAAAAGCCATTTTCAGTGCCTTGCATTGCTTCGTCCTAAGCTCTTCAATTTGCAGGCAACTGACTCCAAAACTACGCCTGCTTTGGAATTAATTTTGGAAATCCTGCATTTGAGTCCCTAACACCCAACTGAGTTGCGATGTTCATCGCAACGATGCTACTTTTTCGTGTGTCTTCCAATGAGGAAAAAAAATATTCCTTTCTTCTGTTTTTTCCCTTTTGTAATAATTTTTTTTTATAGTTCCTTTTTATTTAATAACTGTGATTGCACAATGCTGGCCGCTCCCTTCGTTCCGACGCTTCAGAGTAACACAATATTGTACTACAGAATATTGCGACAATACAATGTTATGTAACAATGTTGGGCAGCATTTTAGACAATGTGATGATCGTGTGACTTCCGTAATGATGATTTGTTGCGTAGGTGTTAATTTTTCTGGATTTTTTTATAGTTTAAGCAAAAATTATAATTTTTTACTCATTTAAGGTCAGGTTTTTTTTTTTTTACTTATTTCTTGGTCAAGAATTTATGTGATATGTACCTAGTTGCAAACTGTAATGAACATTTTCTGTTACTTATGGCCACCTAGTTTTTGTATATCTTAGAAAATTTTCTGAAACTGGGAAAGTTTCTGAAAAAAAATTCCAAGAAAGATAGAATAAATCGAAATTAAAATCGAATGTTTTTTTCTTTAGTTTTTGCTTGCTTGAGTATACAATTAAGTATTTCGGATGGATAGTTCGAGCAAACATTTATATTTATCCGGTTCAGATTTTTTTTTAATTAAGGAGCTTTTTACTATCTAAAATTGTTTCAATATACACCAGTCAAAATTATAAGTATAGCAAAAACATTTTACGTTCAATTTTATATAATGTCAATCGGAGAAAAAAATATTAGTCAATTTAAATGTATAGTTATTACTGTTATATAATTTTTGTTTAATTTTAAATATCCCAGAAATTAGTTCTGTCGAAGCTGTTTTAGATAGTATGCAATAGTTAGCAGAAAACTTATATTTCATTAAATCTGGGGAATTTTTTTTCCCATTTCCATGTTAGCAGTCATGCTTGTTGCCTTGCTGCATATTCTTCTGCATTTAGCCTGTTATTCCTGGCGTGATAAAAAAATTCTTGTTTTATTCCTTTTTAAAAAATTTCTCTAAAATGTAGACTTTTGCTAAAAAAAAATCTCTTTAAAAATAGGTTTTTACTCACCTTCATTACATTATTTAGAATTTAAAAAATTGACTATATTAAATAAACTTGAAATTTAAACAAAAAGTAATTTTTAAGAATTTTATTTAATTTATAGTGTTTGAAAATTTTTCTTTACGGATTTTATATTTTTAATTAAATACCTTCTCTGTGTATATTTAGTGTCATGAAAATTTTAAACTTGCTGTACAAGAATATTTTTTCCAGTAATCTAAAATGGAATTTTTGTTTTCGCATTTTAAAAATTAATAAAAAAAAATAATTGTCTAATTATTAAGTTTATTTAATGTCAATTAAAAAAAGCGAAATTTAGTTTAATCATTGATGAAAGACAAATGATTATATTTTATCGCCTTTTTTGTTTGTTTTTAGAAGGCCATACGAGTCAGGAATATTCTACACGTTGTGCAATATTTTGCAAAAATATTTCAATTCCTTACATCAATAAATTTAATGTTCATCAGTCTGTGCAAAGTTTCTATTTCGTAAAGGAATAAAATTTATTTATTTTTGATGTTAGAGCTCGATGGTATAGTGTACGACATCCGGTATAGGCCAAAGTAAACAGTCTCACACAGCCCACAAGGTAACTCAATAGATTAGAAAACTGTCAACCAGTCGTCTCACGTTCACTGTCAATTGAAAATGTTGTGTGTGTGTTTTTTTCTTTTTTTCCTCAAAGCTTTTCTTGATAATAGAAATGAAACCTGTAATGTTTCCCATATTTTGAAAAATGCTGCACACGAAATCCCTTACATCATTAACCGCTTTCCTTACAATTTTTTGAGAAAAAAAGCAAAAAATCAACATACTTTTTAATTTTGTTAATAAATACAAGGAACTAAAACAAAATATAACACACTAGTATTTTAAGTTGAAAAAAAAAAATTTTTTTTATGCGTAAAAAACATTTTATTTACCATTAATTTTTTTTACTATCTGGAGTAATCTCTGGCAATTACATATTAGTCTTTGGATGATATGTTTTAAAATAAGGGACAACACAAAGTGATGCGCCATTTTTTTTACTATTTTTGTTTGTTTTTATCCTATGTAAATTCCGTTATATTGTATATACGATCGCATGAAACGCGTTTGAGTCACAATCCTACAGCAAAACGTGGTAATTTTCTAATCACGATAGATTTTTTTATTTTTTTTGCTTCCAGCTGAGTAAAAACGTGATTAAACAAAACGCACTGAAAAATTCTGTGCCAGACTTTTCTCGGGATAATGAACATTTGCAATGTATACATACCCGAGTTGACTCGAAATAATCAGGGAAATTTTTAATATCAACAATTTTTTTTAAATAGTTCGAAATTTTTGAAACAGTGGCCACTGTTACGACTGGCCAATGATAGCGAAGTCTCCTAATATTTTGCCCTACAGCATTGAAACATATTGTATTGATATTGTCACAGTATTATTGACATTTTTGTGCTACTGAAAAGCAATAGGAATGGACTATATCAGCTGTAGATCTTTTGAGAGTGAATTTACGAACGTTTTGTTTTTATTTTCTTGGCCTGCTAGAAACTTGATGGGGAAAATAAAAGCTTGGCTACAATCAGTGCTTGTGGAAGTGAGTGTAAATGGCACGAGCTTGTATTGCCAAAACCACAAGCCTATTTAAAAAAAAAAAAAAAATACTAAACGTTGTTATGAAGTATAAAAAAATTGCTGCACTGTGATACTTTCTCTCTGTAGTGTTCAAAAAGAAAGGAACTGTTTTAAAAAAAGAAACAAGTGAGCTGGCTCGGTGCTGTATGCCGCACGCGCATACACAAATCGTCAGCTTGTGTATAATGTTATTGTAATTTAAATGGTCGTCAGCTCTTGTTCCATATTTTATAGATAATCAAATTCATCAGTGTTGTTTGTGTATAATTCAATGGAGACATATTTCCAATGGCACTCTGTCCACCTTCATTAATTCTAAAAGCTAAAGAAGAAAAAAAATTCCTAAGAGAGCTTATTTTGCTCTGGCAGTTTTAATAAGAGCTTGTGCATGTTTCAGAATCTAGTTGTTTGATGAGGTGTGTGTGTTGTTTTTCTTTTTCTGCCTATTTGTATAAAAAAAAACTGCTTTGATTTGTGATTTTTATATATTTATGACCTGAGCCTGGATGTTGGAGTCTTAACACCATTATTGCCATGTTAGGCTTAGCTAAGCCTAAAGGCATAGTGATAATTAAATGTCATTCTTCTTCACCATGTTAGGCTAGCTAAGCATGAATATTGAACAAAAGCCTCATTTAAATCTCTTTTAAATTATGGTTAAAATAAAATTACTTATTTAAACTTACTTATTACTTTGTTTGAATGTAATTCAACGGGATTTGCACATTAAGATTCTTTCAGATTTTTAAAATTCTCCAAAAGAGACTTTAAAATAAAATAATAATTTAAATTTGAAACTTCTTTAAAGTTACTTAAAAATCAAAGAAAAGAAATCAGATTTAAAATTGTTATTCTGTTTTAGTATTCCTCTCAAAAAGACATAAAAATATTCATTACTTGAAATTAACATTCTGTCTATCCTTTCATTCCTTAAAAAAGTCACCAACATCCAGGACAGTGAATGGCATTTTTATGGCGAAAAAAAACTTTGTAATATAAGATGTACTTTCAAAATTATTTACTGAATACTTTTTTATCTCGTAATTGATATTTTAAGAATCACGCTTGTATAAACACATTCCTACATTTCTTAAATTTTTTTTTTAATGATCAGATTCATTGGAAATTTTTTTTTAATCCTTCTTTTTAAAATGTGCTTTTAACTTATTGTGACTATTTTTTTTTAAGATTTGTTTTTATGTAAAATATGGATTCCTATATAGTNTTTTTTTTTTTTTTTTTTTTTTTTTTAGATATGACATTCAAGCTGCGAGTTCTTTTTTATAATTCATTAATTTTTTACGTATAATTATTTTTTTAATAAATCAGTATTAATATCTGAAACAAATGCCAAATTTCAATGAAGTTTGAATGAAAATCTTCAGTGCATGTTGTCATTTTACTCTTCAGCATATTTGTACCATTAATTCTTTTGTTGTTTGTATCATTACTTGTGCCATGTCCCCAACTCAAGTGATGTTTTTAAGAAAGTACTGTAGTCTCCGTGAACCCATCTGGCCTTATAAGTATAAGGAAGACCAGGCAATGGCGTTTTACTAGAAACTGTTTTACTAGGAAGGGCCAACAGCCATAGGCATTCCGCCAAGGGAAGAATCCAATTAATGAGCAAGGGCACTAAACTTTAAAAATTAATCTTTTTTTATGAAACCATAAGTAAATATTTGTTTGGAACAAATATTTCATCAAAAGTATAATTTTGAAACAAATTTCATAATGAAGTTTTCTGACATTTAGATTTCATTAATTTTTAATCATAGAATGGTTGCTAGTTATATTTATATAAAAATTGGGTGTGAAATATAGATTTAGATTACTATTAATACATATCTCTTACACTCCTGTTTTCAAGGGATTCTAATATCGGAGAATCAGCAACAAATTTTCTTGATTTTGCACAGCGTCTCTTCAGGTCACTGCTTTAAACCTTAAAATAATAAAAGCATATCTGTTGGAATAACAGGTACTGGCTCTTAATCTTGAAAAAGCATTAATTAGAGTCTTAACCATTCTCGCTAATCCTTTAAATAATTAATACTGCCTGTTTGTCTCTGCTAAATTATTATTAACACCACTATTTTGAATGGACCATTGACCACTATTTTTTACAGGTTGTCCCTAGATTGTTTTTTTTTTAATAATAGAAGAATTTCTATGTGTGCACGTGGAGCGAAAGTCTTTCTTGAAGGCTCACTTAGGTCAAGGGGTTATGTGCAAGTTGTATCATTTGAGAAAGTGAAAGATATTTGATTATTTCAATAATTGAAAGGTTCATTGTTGTATTTAATAATAGAATAAATGTTATGTAAATCATAATTTTAAAAACTTGTGCTTCTTTGTTTTGCACAAAGATTGTAAAATAGAAAAAAAAAATATATGTTGTGCTAATTCTGTGCAACAAGGAAAGAAGAAAAAGTCATTTTTATGTATTTATATAAATAAACATAACTCTATGTGCAGAACAAATTGAAATAAAAAAAAATTGTATCTTCTTCTACGCCTACACAATGTTGACAGTTGTACAAACTGTACATTGGCCCTTTGTACAGTCCTACTCAAAGTGTGAGCACGCTTCATTAAAAAAAAATAAATAAATAAAATATATTGTATATAATTTATTGACTTTTTATCAATCAGGTTCAAGGTCAGATGCTGATGAAAGTTCATTGTTTACTAATAAAATACACATAAGTTTTAAGTTGTTTACTCATATTTTTTACAGCAGCACAAGAACAATTTACATTTATTCATCCTTCAGAAAGGAACTAATAGTGTTCTTAAAAAGAAAAAGAAAAGCATACGCACCCTATAGTGGGGAAAAAAGTTGTATGTGGTAGAAAAAGGATATCAAAATAGTTTTATTGAAGAATATATTTGATTTTAAGTTCGTGTCTGACATTAAAATTTTCAGAAAACTCTTTTTTCTTAGATTTTTTTTATGCATAGCTTTTTTTATCTCATTTCTGACCTATCATTTCTCTTCGAAATTTATATTTTACTCTTTAATCCTTTAGATAAACACTTCTAACAGAAATCATTGTTCCAACCATATAAAAATTAATGTTACTTTTAATGATCTTTGAAGTCAATTATTACTGTTCTGCAGAAACATTTAAATAGCTCAGTTTTTTAGAAATAATACATCTCTACCTAGGATGAGTAGAGACTTTTTTTAAAAATTTATATTTCCATTATATGAAAGTGGAGACCTACAGAGACCAACAAATATATATTCAATTATAATTTTTAAATTAGGAGGGGTTTTTTTTATACATGAACTCACAAACTGAATTATATAAGCATTATTTAAGATGTCTACTATTTTAAAAACAAAATTCCATCGAAAACTAAATGTGATTGCAATAAAAAAAAAAATTTTTTTTAATGTCTGGTTATGAATAATGAGCGATTCAAATGTTATGTGAGCATCTAAAGAGGGTTATAATTTGCTTAGTTTTGCCAACGAGGAGAATAGACATTAAAATCCTTCCGATTTTTTTTTAAAATGGAAAAAAAAAATAAGCGTAGAAAATTTTCAACTAATTTAAATTTAAATGAATAAGTTGGAAAAAAAACTTCCATTAATTTTTTCAGAGGTCATAAATTTTGACACAGAAAGAAGACAAAGGGTTCCTAAAAAGTATTCTTTTCAAAAATATATAGAATGAGTTAAAATATTCGTAACGTAATTAATTTAATTCTGAAATTACTGCAGTTGAAGTCAAAATTAAAGGGAAAACCAGGTGGGGTGAGTTATGACTTGTGAGTGGTGTGGGGGAATTCAAAATTTTCGAAAAATATGTTTCCCTAAATATTTGAATGACTCTTAAAGATATTTTTAAAAACAGCAGGTGATACTTTTCAATCACAGTTGTGCGGTTCAATTTTGCAATTAGTCAGTAATTCATTGTATGGAACACAAAGATGAAAAAATTTCCATTAATAAATTTTTTAATTGAAATTTGTGAAACAGTAACATGCCAACTTTTTTTTTTTTTTTTACTGGGAGGGCAAGCCAATTCAAAATGAAAGTCACTAACTTTGTTCGTTTTATTATTATAAATCCGAAACAAAGTTATAGTTGCAAAAATTATATTCAGCATGTTCATATTACTATAAATGACGTAAATGGTTTTTCTCTCTTCAAATACACTTTGATTTCCGCATAGTTCTGGACTTGCATCCTGATTCAGGCATGGTTTTGATTTTACTGTTGTATATAAATATTCAGAAAAAACAAAGTAGAATTAATTTAAATTTTAAGGGGAAATGTAAGTCAAAGAACGTATAACAATGTAATCTTACTTTTTAAATTATTGAAAAGCCAAATGATATTAGGCTATCAGATTATTTACTTCGAAAGTATTCGTAGAATTTCAAGTACAAATTGGATTAACACTTTGAATGCCATGGAGGTGACCGGCACTGAGTTGGTTCGTAGCGTTGCCGGGGTGACCGGCAAAACAAAGATTTTTAGAAACTCAGAATTCGAGTAAATTTTTAATTTATTTATATTATTATCGTTACAAAATTGGTTTGAAGAAATTAATACAATACATACTGAGAAAATGATGTAAAATTAGCAAACAAACTAAAAAGAGAAAACTAACAATTAAAATCTAAGAAATATGCAATAAAAAGAGACTCGAATAAAAATGATGTCTAAAACATTTATTATGTTATCAAAAATTATTACGAAATTTTTATTCGGGGTAAGGATTTACATTCATAAGCATTGATTAAGAAATGTGGCTTACAAAATTAATTCCGAAAATAAAAACAAAAAGTACCCCTTAGCTTAAAAAAAAATTTATGCTTTTTAAATATTTGCAAAATATCTAAAAATGAGGAATATATAGAAGAAAAAAATTAACATAAATGTTATAACAGAGAAAATTAAAATCCAGAGAAGATAATATTTTGAAAAAATAACTAGCAAAAAATCTAAGTAAACTACTAAGTTTGGAAATTAAACTTCGAGGAAAATAGATTCTAATACACATAAAAAGTAAATAAATTCAGACGTAGGTCGTAAGTATAGTTTATCTAAAGTAAGAACTCCCCTAGCCATTCGTCTAGACTCGTGGCGGTGACTATGATAACGAGGTATAACTATTTCAAGTAGGGGTGAGGGATCGGTTCGGCGAGAGAAAGGAAATCTTCAGTCTATTGTGTTAGCCCTAGAAGCTAGCTTCAGAGATGGTATACCATCTCTGGAATGAGCAATTCTTGTTTCCATAGCAGCAGACGGTTTCGGACTTTGTCGCGGGGGGATCTCTTACCTCAGACAAACTATACTACTCCAGATATACTGACAAAAGGTACGTTAAACTAAGTCTAACGCCCGAGGAAAAGAATAAAAGACTGTTGAGCAACCTTAGAATCGTCAGACCTGTTGAAATTCTGTTAAAAGATCATTTTTCCAATTTTTTCTTGTTATTGGACCCTAACTTTAGTAACGAAGTATGTAAAGACAGTTGTAGATATTTTAACAATTAAAATACTGCTTTATTTCTCTATGGATGGTGTTTTCATTCGAAATGTAAACAATCTCGAGCTCGGCACCTACTCTAGTTCCAGTTAAAAAGTTTGCAGCTGCTTACTACATGTTATTCTGATAGGCGATGTTTTCAAACGGATAATTTTGTTTTCAATAAAAGAAATAAATTAGATAATTTCTGAGCTCAACTCTGCCGTATTTCATAAGATATTAATGTTATTATGTAATTCTGGGGAGTTTGGAGTGAAATTTTGTTTCAGTTATTTTGTTATTTATAATTAAAAAAGGTGACATGGTTTCTAGATTTTGAATAACTCGCTTTTTTGGCAATCTTGATTTGGCCTCTTTCCATTTGTTTATTACTGTTTGTTCGTGTTGCAAGCTGTGCACCATATTACGTTAGTGTTAACACTTTTAGTATTGTTAACACAAGTATTATTAGCTTTGTAAACATAAGTAATCAAATACTTTGTTTGCAAGAATCAGAAAACACAATGATGCCAAATGGCTTTAAAATACAACTAAAACAGTAACCCGGAAATTTAGGCAGTCCCGAGCTTGCAGCGTTCCCTAGTGCAGAAAACACCATCCATATTTCCTTATTAACAAATGTAATTATTTTAATTTGATTTGAGAAGCGCGATAGGAAATACTATTGCAATTTTTTTAAAGACTATCTTTTTTATAATTTATTCAATGCATTGTTACTAGAAAAGTTATATTTACTTAAAGAAAACCAAATTTCTCATAGATTTTTCATTGGCATTTTGATTCTACTTTTTACTGGAGTAAATAAATTAATTTGCGGATTATCTAGATTAGCGATAACATTTAGACCACCTTTTTACATAGAATTATTAAGAATACAGCAAAGATTGCTACAGCCATGTTTACAAGTAGCTTAATTGTTTTTTCATGCATGCCTCAGACAGTTGTCATGTAGTACGTAACAAAAACAATCAACGAACATTGTACTATAAAAAAAATAATTATAAAAAAAAATTCAAAAATTCGACGACGTTCGACGTTGGAACGCTTATGCGATTTTTATTAGCTAACGGACGGGGTAATAGAAAGGATTTACATGACTTTTTTAGTGATCAAATAAATTTTTTATTAAGTTCAAAGTCTAATTGATTTAGTCAAGTTGTAAAGTTAATTTAGATAAGAAAAGGAATTTAATGTATCATTTAATTTGTAATAGCTTCCATGAATATTCCCTATAGAGTTTTGTCATAAAATGTTTATACATGGGAGGGTGACATATTTAAATCCTGTTCATTTTAATATTTTGAGCAAATATATTTTTAAAAATGTTTTCTGCAATAACATAAAATATAAATTTAAAAAAAAAAAACTATATCTACTCATATATAAAAAAATAGGACTAGACTATACTTCGAGATGCCCCTTGGATTGTCGCCAAGATGAGCGATAATGTTTCTTTCGTGGCAACCTGCGCCGAAACCCAAAAAGGTAAGTCAATATATTCTTATCATTCGATAACATAAATTTCTATTAAGCTATTTCCTTGTTCCATTTTGATATAAAATTTGTTTTCAATGCGTAATCATTTATTACTAAATCATTTTTACGTAATCACTTTTTAAGTAATCATTTTTTCGAAATATTTGTTTTTCTAAGTAATCATTAATCATTTTTTCAACACAATCATTTTGTAATAATTTTTTCTAAGCAATAATTTTTTCTAAACAATAATTTTGAACACATTTTATATCAAAATTCAGATAATGATTTTTTGTTTGTTTTAATTGTGATTTGTTTTCCGTATAATAGTTTTAATTTGGCAGGGCAATAGTTAAATATTAAACTCGACTATGTAAAACGTATATGATATCTGAAACTTAAAAGTAACCTTTACTTTTACTTCTTATACCTCTTTTCTATGATAGTCTTAATAGATTTTAAGTCGGACTCTGAGTTAATTATCTTCAGACTCAGCAGTTCTGTAAGAAACTATATTGAATTGGTAATAAGTGCAACGCTTTTGCAACAAATCCAATCGATAAATCCCCAGAAAAATTTAAAAAGTGGCATTTATTAAAATAAAATGTAAATAAAATTAACAATAAACACCACTTATCCGTTTCTTGGGCTTTAAAAAATTATCGTTCTGTTATTGCCATCAGTAATTTTTAATTGTAGTAAAAGGTAAGCTAACCTAGGGACCTAACTAT